ATGGTCGGCCCCGTCCGACTATACTGCTCCGCTCACTGATTTAAAAATATATTTCAATGACCCATATATAACTATTGATTTTTATACCCTTCACCACACTGTGGTACAGGTAACAGGCAAAAGGAAACGAGATAGGCCCAGGGTTCCTCTAGAGAATATGCATAGACGCACCTTCTGAGTCGATTTACGCATGCCCGTCTGTCCGTCCATCTATTTTTGTGAACACAGTGCCGATCGCATTTATTATCCAATTTGAATGAAATTTGGCATAGGTTACTTATTTGGCCCAAGGACGAACCCTATTAAAATTGGGAAAAATCGGTTCCGATTTATATAAAGTTCTCATATATATTATCGTCCGACTTTTTTTTGTAAACGGTGCACCAAAGTTCCTATATATCCTTCGATTTGCACGAAATTTGGCATAGCGTAATGTATTGAGTGTAGAATGGTGAGTAGTAAATTTCAGGAAAATCGGTTCAGATTTTGATATAGCTCCCATATATATTTTCGTCCGATTTTATGAAAATGGTACACTAAAGTCCCTATATATATATTTGAACGAAATTTGGCATAGCGTACTGAATTGGGTCTAGATTGATAGATTTTCGTCCGATTTTAGCTAAATGGTGCACCAAACTTCTCATATTTATTAGATATTTATCCAAATAATCAACGGGTGTCCGATTGATATTTGCTTTAAATTGATTATAAGAAACGACTCTATATCTGACGAAATAAAAAATTTAGTAGAGGTTGCAGAATGACATGTTTATGGATCCAATTTCATGTTAATTGTCCTTCAAAAATGCGACGTCTGTTAGGATTCATCTGTTGAGTATACCCAATGTGGTGAAGGGTATCATATAGTCGGCCCCGTCCGACTTTACTACTTTCCTTACTGTTTTTTTAGTTTAGAGGGTGGATGTAGAATACAACATAATATCGTATTTAGTCCGGCACTTTTCCAGATAGGAAAACAACCTGAACCCAACAGAACATTTTCCCAGTTTGATTGTATTTTATGAACAAGCAATATTAAGACATTTTCATAGGGAATTGCGGAGGTCTCAGGTAAGGATGTGCATTGATAAGGTATAAGGATGTGAATAAGGATGAACATTGGTAAATACAAATTGGATATGAGCCAAATAATCTTGGGCCCTACAATCGATATATCAATGGGGCACATCGTTAAGGCTGTGAATATACAAAGATTATAAAATAAAGTTTAAAATAAGAAAAAAATGTATAGGTCAGCCAGGGAATGACTTTTGTTTCATTACAAAAATATTGTATTGATTTTTATTTTCAGTGAACCCCCCCCCCCCCCAATCTCAGTTTCAAATATTAATGAATAATATCGAAAAAGGGTTCTTAGGTTCAGGATACATGCTCATCTCTTGTAATATCTCTTTTTGGCCAGATATAGGCTTGGAATTATCTTAAATATTTTTCCAATGAACATATATAATTTTTCCGGAATATTTTTCGAAGTGCCAGTCTTACCAATATTTTTTTCAAAAATTAGATGATGTTTTTAGAATATTTTTTAAAGATCCTATTCGGGCCTGGGCTGGGAATTTTCAGAAATATTCTATTTTCAAAGGCCAGATAAAGCCCCGGATTTTAGGCGGACAAAGGCAATGTATAGGCCTAGACCTAGAAGACAATATCGACATTACCCTAAATGTCAAGCTTTTCTAGTCTACCTACAATATCTTCCTAGACAGATTTCCATGGTTGGACGACAATACGGTGCCCCTCGAAGATTTTTTTATCGTTCGTGTTGCCGGGATTAGCTCAATGCCCATATTTAATAACAAACGGATACTCAATAGGAATCCGGAAATGGACTCGTATTCCTTTAATAATATCCATGTTCGATTGATCGATATACCCTCCGTTTGTTGGCCAAAAAAAAAAAAAAAAAAAACCGGACGAAATAATTGAAATGAAATTAGGCATTATTGATTTGATACAACAATAGACAAAATCCTAGGAATTTTGCCAAATTTTAATCCTTTCTTATTGTTAAATTTCGGGATATAAATGCATTTTGAAAGGGTTTCGTTCAATTCCATCAATTATACGTTCACCAATCGACAAGAAGGGAATCGACAAAATTGAAATAAATTAAAATAACTGCAAACTCTTGAAGAATTTTATAAAACATAATTTTATTGTACTAATACATATTTATTTTTGTTTGTATGTAGGAACATACATATCTACATGTAATGTGGAATATCTTCGTTATCTACAATTGACTAAAAGCGCATTTTTCTCTTAGTTTATGCATAAATTTGTACTCATGTTGATGTTGTACGATGTTGTTGTTCTTATTTCGTTGGACAGTACCAATCGTATAAATTCACATGGTAAAAAAATCTGCAAAAAAGAAACATGTTTGGCTTCTTATCTCTGTCATATGGTCCTGTTTGTTTAGAATGGATTTAGGGCACAACGAATTGTCTGTTGAAGAAAACCAAACAAATAGAAAAAAAATAATAACAACAAAAATATTTAAATACAAACGGCATTTGTCTGCTGCATAGTCTGTCGGTGTGTCTTTCGATGTGCATGAAGCATAAGTCTTCTTCTTTCCCATATATTTATGCATATATTTGTCGACCGCATGTACTTTAGATTTTGACATATTTGACTATTTTTATGTACATAGACAACAACAACGTCATGTTCTATAAACTACAACAAACAAATATTTTCTTCAATTCAATAAATTGTTTTTTCATAGATGGAGCTTAAGTTGTATTTTTTCGTGTGTGTCTGTCTATCTTTTATTTTGAATATTTTAAAAGCCTTTTATTTCAAATAAATAAAAAAATATTTCCATTCATTCCCTCAAACTATCAATCAGCCACAGGTGTATGTACCATCAATGTACATTACCTCTACACTTCTCATCATTCACTTGTTTTTCCAGTCCATCAACATTTCTCTTGAAAATATCGAATCGTATTTTTAGAATGTAAAGCACTCTGCCACACATACCGACCACAGGTGTACGGCTGCTGGCTCTTGTGAAATATATTTCAATTATTTTTCCAGAATATCTGAATGTTGAAAATGTAAAATTCGTATTTTATTTGGTATTAAATGGATACAACCAGATCGAATATGAATTTGTATTGTAATCGGCTTAAATCGATTTATTTAATTAAAGCTGAAAGGAAAAGGATTAAAGTCGAAGGGGGTCCATAACAGTGCACCCTATACCATTTATATTTTTTATACCCCTCACCCTGTACCACACTATGGTACCGAGTATTATGTCTTTATGCATATGTTTGTAATAGGCAAAAGAAAACCAGATAGACCCATAGTTCCTTTTGAGAATATGCATATAACCACTTTCTGAGTCGATTATGCATGTCCGTCCAAAGTACAGATCGCATTTATAATCCGATTTGGATGAAATTTGGCACAGCTCATTTGTTTGTCCCAAGGACGAACCCTATCATAATTGAGAAAAATCGGTTCAGATTTAGATATAGCTCCCATATATATTTTCGACCGATTTAAGGTAAATGGACCCTATATATCTGTCGATTTGTACGAAATTTGGCATAGCGTAATGAATTAGGTCTAGAATGATGTGTGTTAAGTTTCCTGAAAATCGGTCCAGATTTAGATATGGCTCCCATATATATTTTCGTCCGATTTAATGTAAATGGTGCACCAAAGTCCTTATATATATTTCTATTTGCACGAAATTTGGAATAACGTACTGAATTGAGTCTACAGTGATGTCTGCCAAGTTTCGTGATAATCGGTCCAGATTTAGATATAGCCCCATCGTCCGATTTAATGTAAATGGTGTACCAAAGTCCCTATAAATCTTTCGATTTGCCCGAAATTTGGCATAACGTACCGAATTGAGCCTACAGTGATGTCTGCTAAGTTTCGTGTAAATCGTCCGATTTAATGTAAATGGTGTACCAAAGTCCCTATAAATCTTTCGATTTGCACGAAATTTGGCATAACGTACTGAATTGAGCCTAGAATGATGTCTGCCAAGTTTCGTGAAAATTGGTTCAGATTTAGATATAGCTCCCATATATAGTTTCGTCCGATTTCATGTAAACGGTTACCAAAGTCCCTATATATCTTTCGATTTGCACGAAATTTGGCATAACGTACTAAATTGAGCCTAGAGTGATGTCTGCCAGGTTTCGTGAAAATCGGCCCAGATTTAGATATAGTTTCGTCCGTTTTAATGAAAATGGTGCACCAAAGTCCCTATATATCTTTCGATTTGCACGAAATTTGGCATAGCGTACTGAATTGAGTCTAGAACGATGTCTGCCAAGTTTCGTGAAAATCGGTTCAGATTTAGATATAGCTTCTAAATTTGACCAAATGAAAAATTTAGTATCGGTTGCAGAATGACTTGTTTATGGATCCAATTTTATTTTACTGGTCCTTTAAAAATGCGACGTCTGTTAGGATTCATCTGTTGAATATGCCAAAGTGGTGAAGGGTATCATATAGTCGGCCCCGTCCGATTTTTCTACTTTCTTTGCTGTTTTTTTTCTAAATTCGCTTTTGAGATCCATTATGTTGCATTCAACATTGTTGTTCAGTACTGAGGAAAATTTAAAATGCATTTTTAATAAACATAGAACCCTCTATTATTTACTGCCAAAAATCTGAAGCAAATGTCTGCAGATTAGCAACAATATTAGGAAATCAAAATGCAGTCATCTAAATGAATTGTCTATTGTCAACACAGAAAAAAAAATTCAAACAAATAATCTAATTAATTATAAATGTTGGCGCAAGCAGTCAGCATAACGAAATATAACATTTTGCAGAACATTTACATTTTTTGTTGTTCACCCCCACAGTAAAAATTGCAACAATGACAAATATAAATTACAAATAATGCTTTAGAATATAATTCTAAAATAATATTTTGTAACTAAGTGACTAATAATATTCCTCCTATTTGCCTTCAAATATTTTTTTTCAGGTTACCAAAAGTATTCACCTGCCATTGACGACAAGTCTATCATCGGCGCCACGTGTGCTGATGTGTAGTGCTTCTGTGGGTACCGAAGCCTCTGTGACACTACATCTGAGAGATGTCAATTCCAATGATTCCAATTTATCGTCCGCCTCATCAGCAGCCTCAGCGTCACATTACATCAGCCACAATCACACACAGTCGGCCCAACAACAGCATCAGCAGCAGCAACATCACCAACATTCGCAGCAGCATCAACACCAGCTACAGCAACAACAATCGTCACCGGCACAGTCACAGTCACAGACGACGTCGACCAGTGCAAATACGACCACAACACTGGATAATGCATTAACCATTGGTTATCCAGATCCAGAAATGTTGGCTGATGTCTTGGGAACATTACAAACAGCGTGTAAGTAGAGAGGATTTATTTACAAAAAGAGGTGTTATTTTGATTTTTGAAATAAATAATCAAAATGCACGTCTTGAAAAATCCACGTCTTGGATAGGCATTGAAAAGATCTACATCTTAGATAGGCTTTGAAAAGATATACATTTTGGATAGGCCTTGAAAGGATCTACATCTTGGATATGCCTTGAAAGGATCTACATCTTAGATAGGCATTGACAAGATCTACATCTTGGATAGGTCTTCAAAAATCTTGGATAGTCCTTGAAAAATATTCTTTAAAAAGTCCACGCCTTGAAAAATATTCTTTAAAAAGTCTTGGATAGTCCTTGAAAAATATTCTTTAAAAAGTCTTGGATAGTCCTTGAAAAATATTCTTTAAAAAGTCCACGCCTTGAAAAATCTTGGATAGTCCTTGAAAAAAATTCTTTAAAAAGTCCACGCCTTGCAAAATCTTGGATAGTCCTTGAAAAAAATTCTTTAAAAAGTCCACGCCTTGCAAAATCTTGGATAGTCCTTGAAAAATATTCTTTAAAAAGTCCACGCCTTGGAAAATCTTGGATAGTCCTTGAAAAATATTCTTTAAAAAAAGTTTTCTTTGAAAGGTCCACGAAATATTCTTTCAAACATCCACACCTTGGATAGGTCTTGAACAAATATTCTTTGAAACATCCACGCCTTGTTTAGGCCTTGAAAAAATATTCTTTGAAAGAATCCACGTCTTGTTTAGTCCTTGAACAAATATTCTTTGAAAAATCCACGCCTTGTTTAGGCCTTGAAAATATATTCTTTGAAAGAATCTACGTCTTGTTTAGTCCTTGAACAAATATTCTTTGAAACATCCACGCCTGGGATAGGCCTTGAAAAAATATTCATTAAAAGAATCCACGCCTTGGATAGGCCTTGAAAAAATATTCTTTGAAACATTCACGCCTTGGATAGGCCTTGAAAAAATATTCTTTGAAACATCCAGGCCTTGAAAAAATATTCTTGGAAACGTTCAAGCCTTGGATAGGCCTTGAAAAAATATTCTATGAAACATCCAGGCCTTGAAAAAATATTCTTGGAAACATCCAGGCCTTGGATAGACCTTGAAAAAATATTCTTTGAAACATCCACGCCTAGGTTATGCCTTGAAAAAATATTATTTGAAAGATCCACGCCTTGGATAAGCCTTGAAAAAATATTCTTTGAAATATCCACGCCTTGGATAGGCCTTGAAAAAATATTCTTTGAAAAATCCACGCCTAGGTTATGCCTTGAAAAAATATTCTTTGAAACATCCACGCCTTGGATACGCCTTGAAAAAATATTCTTTGAAACATCCACGCCATGGATAGGTCTTGAAAAAATATTCTATGAAACATCCACGCCTGGGATAGGCCTTGAGAAAGTATTCTTTGAAACACCTACCCGCTTTGGATAGACCTTGAAAAAATATTCTTTGAAACATCCAAGCCTTGAGTAGGCCTTAAAAAATATTTTTTGAAAGATCCGCGCCTTGGATAGGCCTTGAAAAAATATTCTTTGAAACATCCACGCCTTGGATAGGCCTTGAAAAAATATTGTTTAAAAAATCAACTCCTTGGATAGGCCTTGAAAAATATTCTTTGAAACATCCATTCCTTGGATAGACCTTGAAAAAAATATTCTTTGAAACATCCACGCCTTGGATAGGCCTTGAAAAAATATTCTTGAAGAAGTCCACGCCTCTTATAGTTCTTGAAAAAATATTCTTTGAAACAACTACGCCTTGGATAGGCCTTGAAAAAATATTCTTGAAGAAGTCCACGCCTCTTATAGTTCTTGAAAAAATATTCTTTGAAACAACCACGCCTCCTATAGTCCTTGGTTCCTTGAAACAATATTCTTTAAAAAATCCACGCCTCCTATAGTCCTTGGTTCCTTGAAACAATATTCTTTAAAAAATCCACGCCTCCTATAGTCCTTGGTTCCTTGAAACAATATTCTTTAAAAAATCCACGCCTCCTATAGTCCTTGGTTCCTTGAAACAATATTCTTTAAAAAATCCACGCCTCCTATAGTCCTTGGTTCCTTGAAACAATATTCTTTAAAAAATCCACGCCTCCTATAGTCCTTGGTTCCTTGAAACAATATTCTTTAAAAAATCCACGCCTCCTATAGTCCTTGGTTCCTTGAAACAATATTCTTTAAAAAATCCACGCCTCCTATAGTCCTTGGTTCCTTGAAACAATATTCTTTAAAAAATCCACGCCTCCTATAGTCCTTGGTTCCTTGAAACAATATTCTTTAAAAAATCCACGCTTCCTATAGTCCTTGGTTCCTTGAAACAATATTCTTTAAAAAATCCACGCCTCCTATAGTCCTTGGTTCCTTGAAAAAAATTCTTTAAAAAATCCACGCCTGCTATAGTCCTTGGGTCCTTGAAATAATAATTTTAAAAAAATCCTCGCCTGCCATATTTCATAAAAAAATAATTTTAAAAATGCATGCCTCTTACAGCCATTAAAAAACTGTTTTTAAAAAATTAACGCCTTTTATAGTCTTTGAAAAAATATGTTTGAAAAAAATCTTCTTATAATCCTTGTTTTTTTTTTAATCTACACCAATACCTGGACCATCGCCCATAAACCTCATTTAATACTATTTTTTAATTTGTTTTGCAGCTTTGAAAAATACCAGCGTCAGTGATAGTACAAAAGTGAATTCCGCCAAAGTGAATAGTAGCAACAGCCCCAGCAGCAACAACAACAACACCAGTCACAACAGCAACAACAGTGATAATACAATAATTCACACAAGTTTAAATGGTTCATTGAAGAATCGGATTACCATTAGTAAACGTACCTCCCCCAGTAATAATAACAACAACAACAGTAGTAACAACAACAGCAGCAACAATGTAACAACTATTGGCAACAAAGTTATAGCATCTGGCGTACAAACCGTCTCAACGTCCACCAACACCACACCGACAAGTGTGAATAAAACCAATAGTTATATCAAAAATTGTCTAATACGCAGCAGCAGTTGCAGCAACACCACCAACATTACATCATTGGCTCAGATAATGAGCAATAGTAGTACGTCGGGAAGTGGCAACAACAACAACAGCAGCAGTAACAGCAACACCAACAGCAACAACAACTCTTTGAATTCCCTTAATCATCATTCGAATGGTACTCTGTTACAACAACTAAGCACACAAAATAATAATAGCAACAGTAACAGCAACAACAACACTTCCAACAACAACAGTTGCAGCAACAGTAATTTCAGCTCGAGCAGCAACGACAGTTGCTTTAGCTATAGCAGCAACAGCAGTAGTGGTAACTCAATTGCCCGCAGCATAACATCGTTAAGTCACGGTGCAAGAAAAGTTCCTTGCGGCCCACTGTCATCGTCATCATCGTCGGCGTTGTCACAATCTCCCACAGTAGTGGGAGGAGCAACAGTAGCAAATAATAGTAACAATAACAACAACAGCGTTGCAAATTCTGCGAAAATCTTGAAGAAAAATCGTTCAAAGATTTCGGCGCCAAGTCGTCACGGACCGCAACAGTGTCAGGTGAGTAAAAAAATGGTTTTTGATTTTAAAAATTTGCTACCAAATTTGTATACGCGTAACTTCGCTTGAACTTCTCGAAATATTCACTGGGGATCCCATTGAATATACGTAGATTTTGCCATGTCACGCCTCTTCTAAAAATATTTTTTAAAAATTCAGGTCTCTTATAGTCCCTTAAAAGTATATTTTTAAAAAATCCATGCGTTTTATAAAAACGAGTAATGAAAGTAGTAAAGTCGGACAGGGCCGACTATATGATACCCTTCACTTACATACTTACTTAGCTGGCTTGTGACAGAACTTTCGTTCCATAAGCCTAGCTTAAAAAAATTTCCAGGCGCGGCGGTCTTTTGCGTAGTTTTTCCAATTTGAAAGACCATTTTCGGTAATGTTGTATTCGACATGATCTTTACATCGTATTATTGACCTTCCCTTTCTGCGTGAACCATCAGCTGGTTCGCTTTTATATGCCTTCTGGACTGGTGCATCTTCATCCATTCTCACAACATGACCTAGCAAACGTAGTCGCTGCAGCTCAATACGTCTAACTATGTGCATGTCCGAAAATAGCTGGTACAACTCATGGTTCATTCGACGGCGATATTCACCGTCAACGCAGATCGGCCCATAGATATATCGGAGAATGTGTCTATCAAATACTGCCTCATCTGCTTGCGTAAGTACCCATGCTTCAGATCAATATAACAGCACGGGTAGTATCAGCGTCTTGTAGAGTGTGAGTTTGGTCTGGCGGGAAGTGGCCTTGCCTTTGAGTTGTTTGCTCAGACCATAGTAGCATCTCTTGGCCATCACTATCCTTCTCCGAATTTCAAAACTGATGTCATTCGTTTTATTTATGGCGGTATCAAGGTATATAAAATCTTTGACTACCTCTAAACTGTAATTCTCAAGTTCCACAACTGGTCCGAGTGTACTGGACGTCTTGCGCGTTGATACCATCAGCTTGGTCTTCTCGCCGTTTACAGCCAGACCCACTTTGGCAGACTCCTTCTCAATTTGTTCAAAGGTGGCTCTCATTGTTCGATGTCATCAGCGTAGGCGAGTAACATGTGTTGTTTGGTGTATAGAGTGCCATTTCTGCTCACTTTTGCCTTCCGTATGACTTTTTCCAGCAGGATGTTAAAAAGGTCACACGACAAACCATCACCTTGTCTGCATCCTCGTTCGTTATTTATGAGAGGTCATTTCCGACTATAATTGCTGATCTTGTGCCTGGTAAAGTATCCTGTATAGCCGAATTAATTTTGCAGGAATGCCAAACGCAGACATGGCTTTATACACCTCTGAACGGATAAGGCTGTCGAATGCGGCTTTATAGTCGACGAATAGGTGGAATGTGTCGATGTGTTTTTCGTGGGTTTTTCCAGGATTTGGTCAATAGTAGATTTGCCAGGTCTGAAGCCACATTGGTATGGTCCAATAATGTCATTGACCATTGGCTTCAGTCGTTCACACAGTACGTTGGATAACACTTTATATGCGATGGGAACTATTCCTCTATAGTTGGCACATATCGTCTTGTCTTCTTTTTTGTGCAAGGGACACAAGATGCTGAGGTTCCAATAATTTGGCATGCATTCTTCTAGCCAAATTGTACAAATCAGCTGGTGCATGCTCCTGACCAGCATCTGAGCACCACTCATGAATAGTCGATAACCCGTTGGCTCCTGCTGCTTTATTGTCCTTGAGCTTTTATGACCTCATCTTGGCTAGGTGGTATAAACTCTATACCATCATCTATTATTGGTTCTGGGTATCTTCTTCACCGCCACTATTTGATACCAGAAGCTGTCACTAGGTTTCCCTTTTTAATCTCTACAGGAGGATGTGCCTGCACCAAAGCCTTCGGTTTGGTGTTTTACTCGTTGGTAACATTTCCGGACTTCATTCTAACTCCTGTACATCTCGATTTGCTCACGCTCACGTTTTTCTTGTTCTTTCTTCTTTTTTCTGAAAACACGTTTCTCCTCTCACCTTTTCTCCCGACAATTCTACATCACATTACGTGTTGCTACTGTCTGCAGGATTGCCCTATACGCTGTGTTTTTCACATCAGTATCATTACGACGCTCCATGGGTTTCTTGGTGGTGGTTTTTGGTACCCAAATGTTGCTTTTGTTGCAGTTTGTAGGGAGTCGGCAATTCTTTGCCATTGTGCTTCTATACTATTATCGGGATAAGAAGTGCTTTCGTCAAGCAGGTGGATAAGTTGAGCGGAGTAGGTCTCGGCTACCTGTTGGGTTTGCAACTTTTCGACGTCGAGTTTCCGTGTTGTGTTAGATCGCACCTTTGCTTCTACATTAAGACGGGTGCGTACCTTGGCTGCCACAATGTAATGGTCCGAATCGATATTCGCTCCTCGGACGTCTAAAACACTGCATGAATGCCTTCCGTCTATCACAAAATGATCAATTTGATTTCTCCTTGCTTGATCAGGAGAGATCCAGTTGGCCTTGTGTATATGGAGATTATTGAATCTGGTGCTGCTAAATACCACGTTTTTTTGCTGCCGCGAAGTCAATCAACCTCATGCCGTTGTCGGATATTTCTTCATGAAGGCTGAATTTTCCGACGGTGGGGCCAAATATATTTTCCCTTTCGATATTTGCAATAAAATCTCCTAGCAGAATTTTAATGTCATGGCCAGGGCAACGGTCATATGCTGTTTCTAGGCGCTCCTAAAATATGTCTTTGGTCTGTTCAGCTTTATCTTTGGTCGGAGCATGGGCGCAAATAAGACTGATGTAGAAGAACTTTGCTTTTATACGGATTATTGCAATTCGCTCATCTACTAGATTGAATCTGGAGACGAGGTCTTTTATTCTCCCGTTAATCATAAATCCGCAGCTAAATTCATGTCTCATTTCAGGGCAGCTATAATACAGGGCGTAATCATCTGATTTACTTACGCCAGTCCCTTTCCATCGCATTTCCTGTAAGGCAATAACATCGGCTTTGTACTTTTTGAGTACATCCGCCGAAGCGAAAACTGCGCCTGTTCTGTACAACGTGTGCACATTCCAAGTGCAGATTCGCAGATCGTGGACCTTTATACGTTTGCGGGGGTCGTCAACATTAGGGGGGTTTGGTTTTCGTTTTCTTAGCTTTTTCATAGTAGGTTGGGTTTTCCGAGAGTGGGCAACTAACCCGACGACTCAACCCATTTTTTTATAGTTCTTATGGGTGAACTCGCGGCACATATTAGCACCGCGGGGAGGTCAGTGTCCATAATTGAGATGAAAGAGGGACCAAGATAAGCCTGGACTTCGCCATGTTAAAGTCAATCAGAGCCGTTGCTTGGTATCTATCATCCCCTACGCCACCCCCTTGAAAGAGATATTCTTTAAAAAATACACGCTTCTTATACTCCTTAAAAATATTCTTTAAAAAATACACGCCTCTTATAGTCCTTGAAAAAAATTTACTTTAAAAAATCCACGCCTTGGATAGGCCTTGAAAAAATATTTTTTAAAAAATCCACGGCTCTTATAGTCCTTCAAAAATATTCTTTAACAAATCCACGCTTCTTATGGACTTTAGACTATGCCTACGCCTCGGCCGAATATATCTTGATTTCTTTTAACGAAAATTAACACTGCCATCAGCCGTGTTACTAATTGCTAATTTTTTCGCCATTGTTCACCGTACGTCAACCACTGTGAAGGTCTACACACCAAAAAACATGTTCTGATCTCATTACTAAGGAAAAAAATTGGTACCATACATTTCTAATTAAATTGAAAACTAAAGTAACGCAATTTTTGAATATTTATTAAATTTTTTGTTTTGGTATTTTTTTTAGAATTAGTACAACAACTAGTAAAGAAACCTAAGCAAAGCATAGACTTCTTCTCATTTTGTGCGTTTACGCATCATCTTGTTAAGAAAAAAATTACGAAACTATACCAATTAGTTTCACCAAAAAAATTGAAAAAAAAAATTCTAAAACATAAAGGAATGTGTTTTCTTCTAATTTCATTACGTTTTCGTTCGCTTCATTTTCTTCATCCAAGACAAAAATGAAATGAAATGTACTTGACAAGATGTGTACAAAAAACATGAATAAACATAAATACACTGAGAAAAATGTTGTGAAAATTATGGATGTTTAAAAAATATTTTTAGTATTTTTTTTCAAAAAAATAGACGTGGATTTTTAAAGAATATTTTTCGAAGAAATATCCCGATCAAAGGCCTGGATTTTTAAAGAATATTTTTAGAGGAAATATTCCGATCATTGGTGTGGATTTTTAAAGAATATTTTCCGAAGAAATATACCCATGATTTCGAAGAAATATCCCGATCATAGACGTAGATTTTTAAAGAATATTTTTTTGAACAATACCATTTTTTTCTCAGTGCATTCTCTATATATATGTTTTGCTGTACATATTTCAAATAGTGGTACTAGCTAGCAACAAAAAATAATGACAAAAAGAAATTGCTTCGAGACATGTGTGTATGGATGTATGTCTGACTGTCTATATGTTTGAAGCAAACTACAAACCACAACGCAATTAGTATTAACAGCTGCAACAACAAAAACAGTAACCAATCGTCATAGCTTAACCCTTCCGACCACAAGAAAAATTAAACACCGAACCATTCACATGGATAGACATGGATCCCTGACACGGAAGGGAATACGCGGTATAGGATGGCGCATATTTTTTGTATGAATGGATGGCTAAATGTGTAAAGAATAGCAAAAAAATAGAACAGAATCTAATTTTGAGGCAAATGGAAAAGGGAATGCAGAGGCGGAAAAACGCCACAGCTCGTCATCTAATTAAAACATATTTTTGTTTCATATGTTTTTTGGCGTGGTGGATCCAATTTTTAAAATGGGTTGTTGTTTCTTTTTTCTGTTTTTTGGGGTTTATTTTAATATTTGATGTTAATTTTTTTCTATCTCGTTACAGATTTGTAATAAAATTTTTGGAAATGCATCTGCCTTGGCCAAACACAAACTGACGCACAGCGACGAACGGAAATACGTGTGTGTTATGTGCTCAAAGGCATTTAAGCGACAAGATCACTTGTAAGTGTCAATTTTATTAAAAAAAATCTTATTAAAAAAATAGAATTAGAAAAAGCACACATACACATAGATAATTCAATTATATAAATGCGAGAATTATAATTTGTATATACCCAAAGAGGTGGGAGAAGAAGGTGCACCAATAAGGAAAGCATCAAAGGCAGACAGGATCGACTATGGATATTCTTTACCACTTTGGTTGTATACATGAGGCCAATTAAGGATCTAGGCTTAATTCAAAAATCTACTCAAAAAATTTTTGTCATTCGAACAAACGTAGGGTCTTTGCTGCACCATCGAACGAAATTCTTTATGGGATCTATATCGAAAAATTAACTTTACACACATCATTCTAGACATAATTTAGTCAGCTGTGCAAAATTTTATCTCAACTGGTCAAACTTTAGGTTTTTGGAGCCCCATTTACATAAAATCGAACATTGAGCTCTTGTTACACCAAATCTGAACCGATATAAAAAAATTCAGCACTCGTCATTCTTAGATCAAGTCGGTAGCACATGCAAAATTTGGCGACCAATGACAGATTCATTGGGGACCCATTTTGATGTTTCGATAGTTGGTATACGACTTTCGTAAAATCGGACGAAAATATATGGGCAATATTGCCAATTTTTTAACATAGCTAAAGACGTTCACACCTTTATACCTCGGGAATTACTTATGTGAAAAAAGTGAATAGTTTTGGGTTAATTGATCTGTCATTGCAAACTTTTCATGATACTGACCTCCAAACTTTATTTGAGTGGAAGCCGTTTATAGTTTAATGTAAAACCATTAAGGAATGTTCAAAATTCGGACTGGGCCGACTATATCATACCCTCACCACTTTGGGTACATACAAGAGATGATCGTATGTATAATATCCTTTAGATAGAATAGACATAGCATATTTGGAGGACCATTGAAATGGAATCGAACTGCATGAAGTACATAGATATTTGAACTAAATTAAAAAAACCCATACACATACCAATCTGAAATTTATGAAAATCTGAATGCCAAATATGAGCAAAATATTTATTAAATCTATATATCTCATCCAATTTGAAAGACCATATTCCGAGATATTGTCTTCTACTTGACCTTTCCATCGGATTCGTGGCGTTCCCTTCTGCATCACTTGGCTCGCTTTTATATGCCTTTTGAGTGGAGGAATCCTCATCCATTCTCACAACATGACCTAGCCAACGTAATCGCTGCAGCTCGATCCGTCTGACTATGTCGATGTCCGAGAATAGATTCTATAGCTCATGGTTCATTCGCAGATCGGTCCATAGATCTTTAGGAGAATTTTTCTCTCAAACCCTCCAAGAGCTGAATTATCTGCTTGCGAAAGTACCCATGCTTCAGATCCAAACAACAACAACTGTAGTCTGAGTAAACAACTCAAAAGCAAGGCCACCTCTCGCCAGACCAAACTCACGCTCTACAAAACGGTGATATTACACGAATATTATTACCATAGTAGAATCTATTGGCCAACACCATTCTTCTCCGGATGTCTAACCTGATGTTATTAGTTTTGTTTATGGCGGTACCGAGGTATATAAAGTTGTTCACTACCTCCAAGTTGTAATTCTCAAGTTCCACAGTTGCTCCGAGTCTACTGGACGTCTTGCGCGTTGATACCATCAGCTTGGTCTTCTCGGCATATACTGCCACTTTGACAGACTCCTTTTTAATTCGTTCAAAGGTGGCTGTTACCGCTCGCAATGTTCGGCCCATTATATCGATGTATAGGGCTGTCGAATGCGGTTTTATAGTCGACGAATTGGTGGAATGTGTCGATGTGTTTTTCGTGGGCCTTTTCCAGGATCTGGCGTAGAGTAAAAATCTGGTCAATAGTGGATTTGCCAGGCCTAGAGCCGCATTGGTATGGTCCAATAATGTCATTGACTATTGGTTTCAGTCATTCACACAGTACGCTGGATAGCACTTTATATGCGATGGGAGGGAGACTTATTCCTCTATAGGTGGCACATATTGTCTTGTCTCCTTTTTTGTGAACAGGACACAGAATACTGAGGTTCCAATCATCGGGCATGCATTCATTTAGCCAAATTCGCTGATCGGTCCATATATATTTTTCTCTCAAACCCTCCAAGAGCTGCCTCATCTCATCAGATCCATACAACAACAACTATAGTCTGAGTAAGCAACTCAAAAGCAAGGCCAACTCTCGCCAGACCAAACTCACGTTATCACCTACTTGTAGAGGTCAATGGTGAATTCGCCAGGCCTGGAAACGCATTTTTAGGATCCAATAATGTCATTGTCCATTGGTTTCAGTCGTTCATCCTTATACGCGATGGGAGGTAAACTTATTCCTCTATAGTTGGCACATATCGTCTTGTCTTCTTTCTTTGTGCACAGGTCACAGAATGCTGAGGTTCCAATCATTGGTCATGCGTAGCTTTAGCCAAATTGTACTAATCAGCTGGTGCATGATCCTGACCAGCACCGACATCAGCTGCAATATTGTTCTTCAGCTGATTAATTGCCACTCTCATCTTGGTTAGGTGGTATACAATCTATACCGTCATCTCTTATTGGTTCTGGGAAATCTTCTTCAATGCCACTATTTGAAACCAGAAACTTTGTAAAATGATCCTTCCAGATTCTAATAAAGCTATCTGTATCTGTCACGAGGTTTCCATCTTCATCTCCACAGGAGGATGTGCCTGCACCAGTAGGCCTCGGCTATCTGTTGTGTTTGCAGCTTTTCGACGTCGAGTTTCCGTGTTGCGTTAGATCGCACCTTTGCTGCTACATTAAAACGGGTGCGAACCTTGCCTGCCACAAGGTAATGGTCCGAATCGAAATTCGCTCCTCGTATCGATCGAACGTCTAAATCACAACATGATCAATGTGATTTCTCGTTGCTTGATCAGAAGAAATCCAGGTGGCCTTGTGCTGCTAATTTGGATGTTTTTGCTGCCGCGAAGTCAATCAACCTCATGCCGTTATCGGATATTTCAAAAACATTTTTCCTTCCGATTTTTTTCCATTAAAATATGTATACAAATATCAAGACCAATTTAGCTATGTCCACCTATTAATATTTCAAATGGGGATCGCAAAATTTAAATTGAAGTCATTTTCAACACACATTGCTACTACTACTAGTGTGTTTCATATTGTTAGTGTCATATATCGGCTCACCTATATTTTGGGGAATTTTATCACGGTATTCAAAAAAAGTATCTATAAATGAACAATGGCGGCTTGGATACGTGCTTCATCAATACGGCTGTAATATTATATTTTGGATTCTCATTGAGCAGAAAACGGAATGCTGAATATCTGGTATTCTGTTGACTTAGTCACGCTTTGCAGACTACAATATTTTGCTTCAATGGTATGCAACTGCATATTGTGCAACCTTAGGATGATAAGGAGGTGGTTTGAATGCTAAGGCGCCGGACATCAACAGATGCCATGGGAACCAGGGTTCAAATCCCAGCCGGGCTCAAGCTGATTTTTTTTCTGCTCTGAAAAAGAATGTTCCGGTGTGATGCCAAATGTCCGAACCATGACACGGTTGAATTTAATTCGTGGATGCAATTTCGCAACAATAGTCTACATAAATACAACTTATCAAGTAAAAACATTTGTAAGCCACTTTGCCCAATATGCCTGATGAGCCGCTTAACCAATATTGAATATTGAACACTATACGTTTAGGTATAGTGTTCAATTTGTCACTTCGTTATTTAGGTGGAAAACATTTCTTCGTAGAACATTTTTGACATAGCCCCATATACGGACACGTTTTCATTATCGAAATATTTTGAAGGTATTATCCGCATTTTGTAACCAAAGTGGCGGTAATCTGTCATTTCGGTGTATTTGTAAAAATAGGCCCATGATTTCGTACAAAGGTTCCACCCCATTATCTGTATATTCAGTGTCAAGGCTGTAATTAGCATTTCGATCTTGTGATGAGTAAAAAATGAATCTGCAGCAAATTTGTATGCCTCCGCATGTAAATCTCTCTCTACATTTTCTGGATGTTAAAGACGAATTTTCAACCTGTGTGAAATTTCATATTTTATTGAAATAGAGTTAAAAACAATCATAAGTGGTTCCCCGAAATTATTTATGGATTTTGTTTAGATGTCTATTCAAAATGAAACATAAAATTTGATTTTTTATTGAAAACCTATAAATCCGTAAACGATACTAAAAACCGACATGCATCATATTTTCCTTTATAAAACACCAGACATATATTTCGTCATGTTTAAAAATAAATGCCAAACTTATACCCTCATACCCTCCTCAATTTTTTCTGTCATTTTCCTAATATTTATGGAAATAAAACGCCCATAAAATTTGTCAGAAATTCCATCAATTTGTGGCTGTTGTTGTTGTTCTCTTTGTAGTGATATGACACATATTACGACATGTACTAATATTCCACCTGACGATTATGATATTTGTGTGTGCGTTTTATTTTTCTTTTTTTATTATTTAGTAAAAAAATTTGTCCATGACATGACACGACACGACACTTTACTTTGACTTTTTGCCTTCGTCTTCTAATTTTCTTCACCTTCTTCATCATCATTCGCCATTTGACATATGCTTATCAACCGAAAATGTGTCTCACCCACTTAAATCATTTCCGGCACGGTGATGAATTTCCTCTGACAGCTACTAAAAAAATCTGTTAACACGTGGCATAATGTGACGCCAACAAATCAAAAACATTTTCAAACCAACAACAACAAAAATAAAGATTTTTTATCCACACATTTTAATAGACAACAAAAAATAAACATTTTTTAAGATGCCACACAATTGTCATAATCAGATAATAAAAACATAAATGGATATTGGGGTGGATGTCGAAGAGAACATTTTGTTTCTATACCCTTTACTAAGATGTGTGTGTGTGTGTTCTATACAAAAATGTTCGTCCTCATGTAAATTGTGGTTTGTTTTTATATAGGAAAACAATCGTCATCAGGTGAAAGGAGTCGGATTTTTTCTACAGAAAAACAGGCGTCATCAGGTCAAATGTGATCGTATTTTTATACTTTTCACCACACTGTGGTGCACGGTATTATGCCTTTGTGCATATGTTTATAACAGGCAAAAGGAAACGAGATAGACGCATGGTTTCTTGTGAGAATATGCATAGAATCACTTTCTGAGTCGAATGTCCGTCCGTCTATCCGTCTGTAGATGTTAAATTGTAAACAAAGTACAGGTCGCATTTATGAAATTTGGCACAAGTCACTTATTTGGCCAAGGATGAACCCTATTGAAATTCAAGAAAATCGGTTCAGATTTAGATATAGCTCACATATACATTTTCGTCCGATTTAAGGTAAATGGGGCACCAAAGTCCATGCATATCTTTCGATTTGCACGAAATTTGTCATAGAGTACTGAATTAGTTCCAGAATGATGTGTGCCAAGTTTCGAGAAAATCGGTTCAGATTTGGATATAGCTCTCATATATAGTTTCGTCCGATTTAAGGTAAATGATGTACCAAAGTCTCTATATATCTTCCGATTCCGACGAAATTTGGCATAGAGTACTGAATTAGGTCCAGAATGATGTGCGGTAAGTTTCGTGAAAATCGGTTCAGATTTAGATATAGCTCCCATATATAGTTTCGTCCGATTTAGGGTAAATGGTGCACCTAAGTCCCTATATATTTCTCGATTTGCACGAAATGTTGCATAGTGTACTGAATTGAGTATAGAATGACGTGTGCCAAGTTTCGAGAAAATCGGGTCAGATTTATATATAGCTCCCATATATTTTCGTCCCATTTAAGGTAAATGGGGCACCAATGTTCCTATATATCTTTCGGTTTGCACGAAATTTGGCATAGAGTTCTGAACTAGGTCCAGAATTATATATTTGAAAATCGGTTCAGATTTAGATATAGCACTAAAGTCCCAAAGATTGCCCGACCGACAGTCGTCTTCAGGTGAACTGAGGTCGGATTCTTTTTATAAAAAATCTTCCAACTAAATTTTTGTAGGGTCCAATTATCAAGTAGCTCCCATCTAATGGGGTACCAGGAATTTTAAGAACCCTTTTAGCGAAATTACCTTTAATTTCATTAGGTCGAACTAAGGACGTTTTTACTTCTTTGGATTACTTTACTTTTAATAAAAAATTTCCACCTCCTTTTCGCTTTCCAGAAATGGACATATGATGACCCATCGGAACAAAAAACCATACGAATGTAAAGCTGAAGGTTGTGGCAAATCATATTGTGATGCACGATCCCTGAGGCGACATACCGAAAATCATCACGCCGGCATTGTAACCCCACACCAGAATCAAACACTCTCCGGATCGCAAAATAATAATTCCAATTCGAATTTAAGTTTATCCCCGGCTACGGCAAATGGTAAGCATCCCGAACATATCAAAATTGCAAATATAACAAAAATCGATCTGTCCGTTTTAGGTGATGCCAGTTCACCGGATGGTGCCACCTGTCTAGGAACATATCTCTCAAATGGTGGCACAGTAGTTGATGCTGCCACTGGTCTAGCTTTAACCGAAGAAGAATTGAAAGCTTTAAATGTACCACTGAAGACAACCAGCGTAACGCTATTGTCACCCACCTCTACAACCACCTCGTCATCAATGTCGTCGACGTCATCGTCAGCAAGTAGTCTAACCTCTGGCCCAGGTGCCACAATAACCCTAACCGATAACAGTGGAAATATGGAGGGAGATGGTTTAACCCGCGAACAATTGGATTTGATCAGTAAAATTATGCGGCAGACGAAGCAGACAACGGCCCAGGTTACGGTGTCGTCACCCACCAGTTCCCAATCATATAAAATCGATACAAATCCCCAGCCAAATCAGCAGCAACAAGTGCAAACCCCAAGGCCTAGGACTTGGAATATGCAATTGGTAGGAATCGAATACATTTTTGATCGGAATTCAAATAATCCGATTTCTTGTATTTCAGCTCAACTCCTCCCAAAATGTGGCCATCACCGTGGATGAAATCACCACAGATTCAAATGCGGTTGCCACAGAGGCCACTGTCGTCACCACCAAAGTCAAAGAGGAAGAAATCGACATTGACCTTTCAAATGCCATGTCCAACAATCCCCAACTTTTTAATTTGGTAAAAATCGATCAAAAGCCGGTCGAATGTAATCTTTGTCATCGTAAATTTAAAAATGTACCCGCCCTGAATGGCCATATGCGTCTGCATGGTGGCTATTTTAAAAAGGACCCCGAAACAAAGAAAAGCGAAAAGAAAGAGAATAGTGGACCGCCACTGCAGACGGCCAGCATTGGTGTGCGAGCCTTGATAGAGGAGAAGATTATCAGCAAGCGGAGTAAAGATTTGAATAAGGTAAGTGCGAAGCGAAGTGCGAAGGATGGCATAAATGCATTCATCCTTAGATGAACTGAGTTCGAATTTTTTTTTCTGTAGAACTGATGTCGACATCAGTTCCCTCTGGGGAACTGATATCCTCAGGTGATTTTTCTATAGAAAAATAGTCGTCCCGATTTTTTCTCTATAGAAAAATAGTCGTCCTCGTGTGAACTGAGGTCAAATTTTTTTGTATAGGAAATTTGTCGTCCCCGGGTGAACTGATGTCGTTTTTTTTTTTTCTATGGAAATAGTTGGAACTGAAGTCGGATCGTTTTATGTAGAAAAATATTCGCATTCATTTGAAACTGAAGTCGGAATATTTTTCTTCAGAAAAATGTTCGATTCCGACCTCACTTGGAACTATAAAAAAAATGTTCTCCTCAGGTGAACTGAGGTCAGATTTTGTTAATAGTCTAGTGAACTGAATATTTTTTTATCCTTTGGTGAACGGGGGTCGACTTTTTCGATAGAAAAACATTCGTTCTCAAGAAATGTGGTCCCCGATTTTTTCAAGAGAAACAAAGTCGTCCTGAGGAATAAATTTTTTATAGAAAGACTCATTCTAAGGTGACCTAAGGTCGATTTTTTTCTATAGGAAAATTGTCGTCCTCAGGTTAACTGAAGTCGGAAAAATATAAGAAATGAGGTGAACTGAGGTCTCCGATTTTTTTTCCATCAAACCTCAGGTGAACTGAGGTCTCCGAATTTTTTTTCTATAGAAAAAGTCCAACCTCAGGTGAACTAAGATGTCCGATTTTTTATAGGAAAAAGTCCGACCTCAGGTGAACTAAGGTCGAATCTTTTTCTGTAGTAAAAAATACGTCTTCATTTGGAACTAAGGTCGATCTTTTTGTTTATAAAGACATCTCTATTGTTACTGAACTCGATTTGTTTCTATATAGAATTGAGGCTCGATTTTTTCTATAGAGAATTGAGGTCGTATTTTTCAATAGACCTATGGGCTCTTCCTTTTCTCTCTTTTTATTATCTTTTAATTTGTTTTTATTAATTTTGTCGTCTACTTTTTCTTCCAGGGTGCCTTTGTAGTTCCTGCCCCACCCTCCAATAACAATCAAACCAATCCGACAACAATGCGCAGATCAATTAGTGATTTGGATAGTTTTCTAAATCCCAAACAGAATACAATTAACTACAATGGTAATATGACAGTACAACAACAACAAAATCAGCAGCAACAACAACAACAAGTCTCAACCTCCAATCAAATGAAAAATTCACCCAAAACCCTAATCAATATGACCGAAATGAATCTGCCGCAAAGTATTGAGATTTATAGCAACAACAATAACAACAAACAATCACAACAACAACAAAAGACAATGAATAATATTGGAGTGGGTACCGTCACTGCCTCTACGTCCAATTCAACGAAATACCAGGCCATAACATCTAGCTCGGGCGGATCAGCAACAACGATTAATACAACGACCAGCCGTTCAACATCCACAGATCCCAAAGATTCCACCCTGATTGAGTTGTTGAAACGTGGCACTCGCATAGCGGTGACCCAGAAACAGCCCAATCCGAATATGCCGCTAGGTGGCATTTCCCGTCAAATAATAACCAATAAAAATAATTGTAGTGTTATAATACCCTCAGAGGTTCAGGTGGTTACCACGAAGGGGAAAATGAAGAAAGCACAGGAGGAACAGCAACAACAGCAGCAGCATCAGCAACAACAACAAATGCAGCAGCAGACACAGCAGCATCAGGGGAATGGTAATACCACCACCACAAATTTAACCTTGGCCGATGGTACCCCTTTGTCTCTGACAATTGCCCAGGGTTCGGATAGTAATAGCGGAGAGGTCTATACCGTTACCTATACCAGTGATGGTTCGGGCCTATTTGGCGATGCTGAGGTCTATAATGTCAGTGAAGCAGAAATGCTGTTACAAACTGTCGACACCATGCAGCTGCTCAGTGAGGAGGGTGGTAATGGAGAGGCCATGAAAATGGAGCCCAATGCGGCAGGCATTAATACACCCACAACCTCTGAACATTCCGAACATTTTGAGGTTATCGAAAGTAGTAGTAATAATAACAACAATGCGAACGGTAATATTATGGACTCTCAGCAGCAGCAACAACAACAAAATACCTGCCAACAACAACAAACTTTACCAAATTTCCAACATTTCCATTCCAAAGAGCTGATTATGCAGAATTCTACATCCTCCTCCGGAAGTTCTTCTACAACCTCGATACTTAGCCAAAATAACCTGCGTTCCCATACCCTGAGTCTGCCAAATGACCTCAAAGGTGGGCATCAGTTCGCACCCAATTTAAATTCTCCCCTACATTCACCCTTGGCCTATCCGACACCACCATCCAGCCATGAAAATGTTACCCAAACCTCCCCCTACATTGAGGACAACCATCATTTTGGTGATAGCCAAAATATTTTCTTTAGTGAATCCCTGCTCTCGGGTGGTAATGGCAATCACGGCGATCAGGTTGAGGATCGTGTGTTGAAGTTGAAAAATGTCCTCGAAGACCACTCCTTTGATTCGAACATCAAAGTTGAAGATTTACTAAGTGGTTCGGGTGCCGATACGGAATGTGATTTACGGGAATTTGCCGAAGCGAATTTGTCGTTCCTGGATGAGGATCAGGAATTTCTGAGTGATTCGCGGAATGCCACTTCCCCCTTGTCGGAATCATTTTTCACCAGTGGCATTGGCACGGCGGAGGAGGTAAAGGAGGTACTGCGTGAGGTCCTTACCGAAGATCAAATGAATTTGAATTGTGAAAGTCAACAGGAGAACATCATCGATTTGTATTATCTACCTGGGTTGAGTTTGCAGTCGCAAATGATGCCAAATTCGGAGGATCCGCTGTTGTCTTCGTCGCCCAGAGATTTTGGTCAACTGAAAATTGTCAATTCCATGCAACAGCAGCAACAACAACAGCAGCAGCTACAGCAAATGTCAAACATTCCCCAACAACAGCAGCAGCAACAACAACATCAAATGACCCAGAACCTGGCCTACCCTCTTCAGCAGCAGCAACCGCACCAGGCCACCCTCAAACTGGCATTGGATGCCGGAGGTCAGTTGGCCACACACGATGTGAATCAATTGATTTTAAATTTACCCCAACAAGTGACAACAACAGCAACAACAACATCGTCCCCGGCGACAACAACAACAATACATTATAATGTACAAACAATAACACCACCACAAGTACAAAGCTCCCAGAATCCAGGAAATGCACAGATACCCCAGCAGCAGCAACCCACACATTATATGGCTTCCTCCCAGCAGCAACAACAACAAAATATAAATTCTCTTAATGAGGCCTTAATGCAACCGATAATATATGCCACCAGTGGTACCACCGATAAAATTGAAATAAAATTAGAACAGCCTGCAGGATCGGCAGGGGAAGGTAGCAACATAAGTAGCAGCAGCAGTAGCAACAACCACAACAATCAATTGAATCCTCAGCCTCCTCCTTCACAACAACAACAGCAACAACCAACTCGAATATTACACACACCGCGTAATAATCCCGCCTACTCCTCAACCTCTCTGCAGCCACTTTCCAATCAAACCAATTCCATACTGAAAAGACGTCTTAAGGCTGGTGGCGGCGGATTGCATCCGCACGACTCATCCAGCTCCCAATCATATTCCAAATATCAGGCCCTATCGCCATACAAATCGAAGTTAAGGAAACCCTCTAGGACCCACTATACCCCGGCACCCATACTCAACCCGGAACGCAAGGGCCATGGCCTTTATTGTAATGTTCTCAAAGAACTGGGTTGCTCTCTACTCTCCTTCGATAATTTCGATGATTTTGATGATGACCCGGTGGGATTGGTCGACTTCTCCGATGAGTCCAAGGTGAATTTGGGTTCAGCCTATCAGGCTTCGATACCAGCATTTATTGCCAACAACACGGAAATTGAGGAGACCGTGGCAGCGGAACTAATGTGGAATCCCGACTGTCAGCGTGATGAAAAGATTTTAATGCGCTTCATTGATTTAAGTAAATCTTCGGCGGTACCCTTGGGTAGCCATACCGAAGAGGTGGCATTGCAAACTTTATTACAGGCCCAAGGGAATACGGCGACTGCTGTATTAAATCTCCTACAGACCCAATCGAATTCGTTCCAAATGAAATGGTCCTCACAGGAATTGGAATGTTTCCTGAAGGGTCTGGAGAAACATGGCAAGGAGTTTAGTAAAATCTCAAAGGAGGTAAGTGCGATAGGGAGGGGGAAGAACATACTTGCAAAAAATTTGAGGAACTCGGTAAATTTTTTTCCGACAAAAAATTCAGACCTCAGATGCAACCGAATTGGGGTCTGATATCACGTTAACATGAGGTCTAAATGTTTTCTATAGATAAAAATCTGGCCTCAGATGAACCCGAGGTCTGAACTTTTTTCTACAGAAAAAACTACCGACTTTAGCTGAAATGAGGTCAGATTTTTTTCTATAAAAAAAATCGCCCTCAACTGAACTGAGGTCTGAATTTTTTTCTATAAAAAAAAATCGCCCTCAACTGAACTGAGGTCTGAATTTTTTTCTATAGAAAAACATTCGCCCTCAGCTGAACTGAGCTCTGAATTTTTTTCTATAGAAAAACATTCGCCCTCAGCTGAACTGAGGTCTGAATTTTTTTCTATAGAAAAACATTCGCCCTCAGCTGAACTGAGGTCTGAATTTTTTTCTATAGAAAAACATTCGCCCTCAGCTGAACTGAGGTCTGAATTTTTTTCTATAGAAAAACATTCGCCCTCAGCTGAACTGAGGTCTGAATTTTTTTCTATAGAAAAACATTCGCCCTCAGCTGAACTGAGGTCTGAATTTTTTTCTATAGAAAAACATTCGCCCTCAGCTGAACTGAGGTCTGAATTTTTTTCTATAGAAAAACATTCGCCCTCAGCTGAACTGAGGTCTGAATTTTTTTCTATAGAAAAACATTCGCCCTCAGCTGAACTGAGGTCTGAATTTTTTTCTATAGAAAAACATTCGCCCTCAGCTGAACTGAGGTCTGAATTTTTTTCTATAGAAAAACATTCGCCCTCAGCTGAACTGAGGTCTGAATTTTTTTCTATAGAAAAACATTCGCCCTCAGCTGAACTGAGGTCTGAATTTTTTTCTATAGAAAAACATTCGCCCTCAGCTGAACTGAGGTCTGAATTTTTTTCTATAGAAAAACATTCGCCCTCAGCTGAACTGAGGTCTGAATTTTTTTCTATAGAAAAACATTCGCCCTCAGCTGAACTGAGGTCTGAATTTTTTTCTATAGAAAAACATTCGCCCTCAGCTGAACTGAGGTCTGAATTTTTTTCTATAGAAAAACATTCGCCCTCAGCTGAACTGAGGTCTGAATTTTTTTCTATAGAAAAACATTCGCCCTCAGCTGAACTGAGGTCTGAATTTTTTTCTATAGAAAAACATTCGCCCTCAGCTGAACTGAGGTCTGAATTTTTTTCTATAGAAAAACATTCGCCCTCAGCTGAACTGAGGTCTGAATTTTTTTCTATAGAAAAACATTCGCCCTCAGCTGAACTGAGGTCTGAATTTTTTTCTATAGAAAAACATTCGCCCTCAGCTGAACTGAGGTCTGAATTTTTTTCTATAGAAAAACATTCGCCCTCAGCTGAACTAAGGTCTGAATTTTTTTCTATAGAAAAATATTCGCCCTCAGCTGAACTGAGGTCTAAATTTTTTTCTATAGAAAAACATTCGCCCTCAGCTGAACTGAGGTCTGAATTTTTTTCTATAGAAAAACATTCGCCCTCAGCTGAACTGAGGTCTGAATTTTTTTCTATAGAAAAACATTCGCCCTCAGCTGAACTGAGGTCTGAATTTTTTTCTATAGAAAAACATTCGCCCTCAGCTGAACTGAGGTCTGAATTTTTTTCTATAGAAAAACATTCGCCCTCAGCTGAACTGAGGTCTGAATTTTTTTCTATAGAAAAACATTCGCCCTCAGCTGAACTGAGGTCTGAATTTTTTTCTATAGAAAAACATTCGCCCTCAGCTGAACTGAGGTCTGAATTTTTTTCTATAGAAAAACATTCGCCCTCAGCTGAACTGAGGTCTGAATTTTTTTCTATAGAAAAACATTCGCCCTCAGCTGAACTGAGGTCTGAATTTTTTTCTATAGAAAAACATTCGCCCTCAGCTGAACTGAGGTCTGAATTTTTTTCTATAGAAAAACATTCGCCCTCAGCTGAACTGAGGTCTGAATTTTTTTCTATAGAAAAACATTCGCCCTCAGCTGAACTGAGGTCTGAATTTTTTTCTATAGAAAAACATTCGCCCTCAGCTGAACTGAGGTCTGAATTTTTTTCTATAGAAAAACATTCGCCCTCAGCTGAACTGAGGTCTGAATTTTTTTCTATAGAAAAACATTCGCCCTCAGCTGAACTGAGGTCTGAATTTTTTTCTATAGAAAAACATTCGCCCTCAGCTGAACTGAGGTCTGAATTTTTTTCTATAGAAAAACATTCGCCCTCAGCTGAACTGAGGTCTGAATTTTTTTCTATAGAAAAACATTCGCCCTCAGCTGAACTGAGGTCTGAATTTTTTTCTATAGAAAACATTCGCCCTCAGCTGAACTGAGGTCTGAATTTTTTTCTATAGAAAAACATTCGCCCTCAGCTGAACTGAGGTCTGAATTTTTTTCTATAGAAAAACATTCGCCCTCAGCTGAACTGAGGTCTGAATTTTTTTCTATAGAAAAACATTCGCCCTCAGCTGAACTGAGGTCTGAATTTTTTTCTATAGAAAAACATTCGCCCTCAGCTGAACTGAGGTCTGAATTTTTTTCTATAGAAAAACATTCGCCCTCAGCTGAACTGAGGTCTGAATTTTTTTCTATAGAAAAACATTCGCCCTCAGCTGAACTGAGGTCTGAATTAGTTTTCTATAAAAAAAAAGTTGGCCTTCAGCTGAACTGAGGTCTGATTTTTTCTAAGTTCGCCCTTATGAGATCCTGAGGACTGACTTTTTCTATAGAAAAAGGTTCGCTCCCTACTGACCTGGGTTCTCCGATTTTTTTCTATAGAAAAATGTTTAACCTGAGGTCTGATTTTTTCCATAGAAAAATGTTTGCCCTCAGTAGGAACTGAGGTCTGAATTTCCCTTTTCATATTGCTCCCTTCCAGCTCGGCACAAAATCCACGGGTGAATGTGTACAAATGTATTATTTCTGGAAGAAGCTGTGTGTGGACTATAAAGTGACCCACCTAAAAACTGAGACACCACCCCAGATACAACATCATACAGCTGATCCGAAACCTTATGTGTGTGAAATACCTGATTGTTCAGCGGTAAGTATCAACAAAACAACACCTCGCTTTAACCTCTCCTTGCTTTACCAAAAACCAAAAAATCGCAATTTTTGCAGAGCTTTTCTTCTAAAGCAGCCCTGCATGGTCATACACGCATTCATACCTATGGCCGTAATACGCATAATAACAATAGCAACAGCCAGAATGGCAACAGTAATAACAGCAACAACAATGCTAGCAACTCAAATAGTAGCAACAACAACCAAAACAACACTAATCCCAATGCCTCGTCTGCGAACACCTCCTCAGCTAGCAACAACAACAACAGTAACAACCACCAACAAACTACAATGCACAGTGGTTCGAATACACTGCAATTGAATGGCAGCCAATCAGCCATGCCGGGCTGTGGCAATTCCAAAGATCCCAATAATGCCAATAAAGACATTACCGAATTTCCCTGCAAGGTGTGCGGCAAGTAAGATTCCCCCAAACTAAAATTCACATTCCCTGTTCGTTTTTTGTCACGTTATTGAGAAATGAAATGAAAAACCAATTGAAAGAAAGCTATTTACCATAGTACATACATGCATATCGTACATAACATATATTTATATATTTACCCTTATTATAGTGAACAAGTTTTGTGTGAATTTATTGTTTATGAGTTTGTTGTTGGTTTTGTAGTTTGTGTTATGATTTGCTATTGGTTTGGTTGCATTAATTTAGTTCCGTTTTATTCTTGGCCTTTATTTAGGATTTATATTGAAAACATTCCAAATTCCGAATTTTGAACCGAACCACAAAAGTAAATTCCAATTATATTACACTGTGCGACATGATTTTGGGGTGGGAAATTCCTATTGGGGATGAAAGACTTTGGTGAGTATATGAAAACAACTGAAGGAAAAAATCACCATAGGTCAATGTTCGGAGACATGGGGTGTACATTTTTTGTAGCTATTGTATGTATTTTTATAGACTTCACCACACTGTGTTACAGGGTATTATGTCGTTGTGCATCTGTTTGTTGAAAATATGCATAGAATCACCGTGTGTCCGTCTGTCCATGTATTCTTGTGAACAAAGTATAGATCGCATTTATGATACGATTTGGATGAAATTTTGCACAGCTCAAATATTTGGCCCAAGGACGAACCTTATTGAAATGGGAGAAAATCGCTTCAGATTTAGATATAGTTCCCATATATAGTTACATCCGATTTTTGGTAAATGATGCACCAAACTCCTAATATTTGTCCGATCGATACAAAATTTTGCACATCGTACTGAATTAGTTCCATATTGATGTATGCGAAGTTTTGTTGAAATCGGTGCATATTGAGATATAGCTCCCACATATATATATATATATATATATGTTCGTGTAATTTTTTTAAATGGTGCACCGATGAGCTTACGTATGTTCTATATACACGAGATAAAATTGTGGACAGCGCACTGTTCTGCAACATAACAAACGATATATGCCACGGTTGCTCAATTAGGTCCAGATTTAGGTCCAGATTTACATATATATATATATATTAATTGGATCAAACATCGCAGTTTCGCCCGATTTCCACTTAATATATCTGTTCTATCTACAGGATATTGTATATATTAGCATCTCTTGAATGTATCCAAAATGGTGAAGGGTATTATATTGTGGGCGCCGTCCGACTTTTGAACTTTTCTTACTGGTGTGAGATTACATTTTTTGTGGAATATCGAATTAGGAATTAGTTTAGAACATTTCGTTCTGTTAATTCGGTTTTTTGTCGGTTCTATTCGTTCTTAATTTATTGAACCGGACTCCAATTTCCACAATATGCGATCCTGTCTGGATCGAGTGCTGATATGGATGCCCTTACCAGGTGTGTTATCGAAGGACATATACCTGTCCTTAACATGTATCCCTCACTGTATCTGAGCTTGATTTGTGGGAAACCGGAGCTATTTTAAATTTAGTACTATTCCATATATCGTATATTTGCACATTTACACATTTATTTTCGATGTCGATCCCCAAGACTTCGGAGTCCTAGTTTGTAGACAGTCAAAAGAGTCTAAGTTTTGATATAGCCCCACATTTTAGGTTTATTGAAAAGTAAAACTTAACATATCGAAAATGAAGCCGTAACTTTTTATTATAGATAATTTTATACATATGTGTATGTCATCCTTCAAACCCCCAAAAAACTAAAAAGCGATTTTTCGGCCGTTTTATGGGAGTACCCCATCCTTAAAAATCCCAAAAAACAATATTAGAGCCTTTTCGGTAAGAAAATGAGGCTGGGTTATGTCAAAGACCTGTTCCGATAATTTTCTGCATTGATGTATGTCAGCCTTCAAAATCGGTATGTCAGATTACAGCCCTTTCAGTTGGAAAATGCACCTAAAAGCTTAAAAATTACGGAAAGTTGGGCGGTAGTGACAGTATGTCCCGTACAAAGAGAAGTTAAATCAATAACTCAAACAAGCAGGTCTATTGGGTCCTTTGCTAATTGGTACTTAAAAGAAAACAATAACTGAAAATTTTTCGGTCGGTGCCCAAGGTTAGCGAAAGTTTACAGAATTACACACCTATTTTATTATTCGTTTTATATAAGGTATATGTTATTATCACAGAGGTTTCCGATTTATTGTCGATCAAATCGGTTAATCAACTAGTTTCAAATTAAATTTACAACTTTATAAAATATTGAACCTTTGTGGGGGAGGTACCAAACGGCGAGGGCCGACGGGTCCAAATTTCGTACATGATTTAGGCCTGATAATGACAATAGGTTGTGCAAAGTTTGGTACAAATCGGATAGTCCGATCGCATGATGTTATAACATAATTATACCAGAAGGAGTGGACCGATATTTCCCATCTTCAAACTTTAACTAAGTTTGAAAAAAATATTACGATAGTTATCGTACCAGCCGGTCAGACAGACGGACGGAACGACATTTGTAAATCGACACTAAATTGTCTGAAACGGATTTGGTTCACAGAAACATACCAATATTTCGATGATGATATAAATAAGTAATGTTTTAACATAGCCCTTATATAAGGAAGTTGAAGTTTTTTGGTATTTTGAAGATCATAGCTGTTTTTTTTTCCACCGAAGAGTTTATAGTTTAGCTGATATGGTTCTCATACAATAGAAAACCTCCTAATAGAACATTTTCAATACAACATAGCCGCCAGTTATGTGTCCGACTATATATTGTATTTTTAAGCCCACTTCAAAGTGGAGGGTATAAAGAGTGGTGCCTAGTCGAACTTATCATAGTTGGTCGTTTTTCATATTTCATGGAGAATTATTTATTACAAATTCCAAAAAATAGAAGTCAAAATGTGGCCACTTTCCTATTACACTTTTCTGCACTTTGGTGCTACCTGGTCGAGAAGAGCTGATCCATTCCTTGGGTTTATTATGTTGATTTTTCCAAATTCTGTCCTAAAGCAGCAAATTTAATTCTTGGTAATTGAAAACTGTTCAATATTATTAATGTAAAAAATTTAAGTTATTCTGAAGTCTGTAAGTTTTTCTATGATCATTTAAAGTCGAAGTTCATAAAGATACAGGCATAATACGTCGTAATAAACGGTAGTCGTTAAAATATAGAATATAACTTTCGAATATATAGTATTATCAAAACGCTTTAAAAAAGGTCAAATAATGGAAATATGCCCTCGAACGATAAAAAACATATATTTATATTATAAGAATATTAGATATGTGTGTTTGTTTGATGAAAACCTTGATACTTTTTTAGATGAAACCTTAGACCCAAATTTCCATTGAGTTATTTGTTGTTTGTGTTCATGTAAATCCCAATTAATATTATTAACAATTCCATTTAAAATTTAGCTTTGTTCACATAAAAACGTATAAATTATAAATTAATAATTGTTGTTTATTTGTTGTTGTATTTTTTCAATATGTATTTTCTATATATATTTTTTACATTGAACAAACCAAAAGCGAAAATTCACAGCTCATAGAAGTTTTTAAACAAAATCGTTGAATACGACGAAACATAAAGTCTTCAACCAACTTCCCAAAAAGAAAGGCAAGAAATTTATCAATACGAAAACAATATAAAAAGAAAAAAATCAATTAAACTTGAAATCAATGTATTTGAAAACGAAAAAAAGTAAATCACCAATATTAGACCAGCAAACAACATGGATTGTAATTGTAAGTTTTTAACAGAATGTTTAAGTTTTGTTTTTCTTTTTCTTTTTTTGTCCATTCTGTTTTCTCATTTCCCCACGTCCAACCAAATTTATTTATAATACACCAAATCCATCGTTTGTTTCTTTTACCTCAAAATTGTCCATGTTCTTGTTATTTTTTTAAATAAAAAAACAATTCCACAAATTGGTAACCTTTGAAATTACTTCGAAATTTTGTCTCACCCCCTTTTGTATATAAAATGAAATTTAAATAAAACAATTTTCGAATTTTTCGCTAAATGTTATTTTTATAGTTTTACACATATCGAATTGTTTTTTGAAAATACAAATTTCCTTACTTCACAAAAGTCCTGCTTTTCCACTTCCGTTTTTTCACTCTCGACTTCTGTATGCCATTTCTAACACTCAATTGTCCCTAAAGCTGATCATGTGCTTCTTCAGTAATTGATAAGAACTTTTTTTATGATAATACATACACCAAGATTATTCAAAAGATTTTTATAGCCCACAGCATAGGTACACCTATTCGGAATTTTTTTTTCCACAAAATCTAACAAAATTGAAAATTATTGTTATTTTACAAGAAAATCTGAAGTTGTACCTTTCATATGACACCATTTTTTTAATATCTGCAGTAGGTCAAAAGTTATAGAAACCCAAATGTGGTTAAATTTTTGCATAATCAATTTTGGGATCTACCTGTTCAATAGATGGCGTTGACGAAAAGTGTTGTCGTCTTAACTAAAAATCATAGGTTTCTTATATTCTTCATAATTTTTGAATGCGTAATGATATATAAATTATATAACACTAGTTTTGAAGAGATGGGATTATGCGCTTTGTAAGGTCGGCTTAAAAAACTGATATGTCTAATTTGAATCATACCCATCAATAGATGACGCTGACGGCACGATCTTAACATACACACACCTTAACTGTTTTCGTAGTTCAGATATTAGAATGAAAGTAGTGGAAGTAAATCAGATGATTACGCACTGTATTATAGCTTCCATGAAACGAGACATGAATTTGGCTGCGGATTTATGGTTACCAGGAGAATAAAAGACCTCGTCTCCAGATTCTACATCAGCCTTATTTGCGCCAAAGCTACGACAGAAGAAAAAGATGAACAGACCAACAAGGACATACTTTACGAGCGCCTAGAAACGGGATATGACCGCTACTCTAGCCATTAAATGAATATTCAGCTAGAATATATTGGTCTCCACTGTCAGAAAAAAATACAGCCCCATCCGACAAAGGCACGAGACTGATTGATCAGATTAAAGCACCTTGATATACACAAGACCACCTGGCTATCCTTCGATCAAACAACGAGAAATAAAATTGATCATGTTGTGATAGACGGAAAGCATTCATCCAGTGTATTAGACGTCCGATCGATCCGAGGACCGAATATCGATTCGGACCATTACCTTGTGGCAGCCATGGTACGCACCCGTCTTAACCCTACGGTCAATAACCGGGTACATTTGTACCTTTTTTTGAATAAAAATGCTGTAAAATTTTTAATAATGGAGATATTTGGATCAAATTTTGAGGAATCATTCTTGAGGTATTTTCACACATAATCGAAGAAAACAATTATAAATATTTTCCATATATATAATTTTTACAATTTTTTAAAGTTATTACCTACGTAGATCAATAACCGTGGTACATTTGTACCCATCCAAAGATAGCTCTGTAGCTCATTAAAAAAGTGGACTATCGTGAGGTTTTTTGTTTTTAATTAGAGTATGCGGATCTGATCTAGATGTAGGAACTCAAAATTATATATACATTAAAATAATATATATTTAAATAAATACTTAAATGATAATCTATCTAAAACAATCATAGTAAATTCGTTATAGCTTTCGAATGGGTTAAGCCTTTTTAGTTATTTTTTTATTGGGATCTTATTTAGGTGTTCATCAAACCCTCTGCAAATTTTTGTGGCCCTAGACAACATGGGGCCATCAGGGCGACTCGTGGAAGTCAGAAACTACCCTGGTTTTCCCTTGGTATACAGGGACAAAAACAATGATTATTGTCCGTAATTATCCAATTATTCTTCATATTGGGCCTGAAACTTTTTCTATAATCGAATTAGTCTGATTTATTACAATCCTAAATTGGCGTAAATATATAAACTATCATTCAATAACGTTTTAAAGTATTAAATAGTGTTAAAAATGTGTCAATCACAATCTCTAAACTCATAAAATGTGAATAATTGGCAATAATAATTGTTTTAGTCCCTGTATACCAAGGGAAAACCAGGGTAGTTTCTGACTTCCACGAGTCGCCCTGATGGCCCCATGTTGTCTAGGGCCACAAAAATTTGCAGAGGGGTTGATGAACACCTAAATAAGATCCCAATAAAAAAATAACTAAAAAAGCTTAACCCATTCGAAAGCTATAACGAATTTACTATGATTGTTTTAGATAGATTATCATTTAAGCATGGATTTAAATATATATTATTTTAATGTATATATAATTTTGAATTCCTACATCTAGACCAGATCCGCATAGACTTATTTAAAACAAAAAACCTCACGATAGTCCACTTTTTTAATGAGTTACAGAGCTATCTTTGGATGGGTACAAATGTACCACGGTTATTGATCTACGTATACTTTTTTGGTTATTGACCGTAGGGTTAATGTAGCAGCAAAGGTGCGATCTAATGTACACGGAAATTTGACGTCGAAATGTTGAAAACACAAAAGGTAGCAGAAACCCACTCTGCTCAACTTTCCCAACTGCTTGATGAAAGCTCTCCTTGCCCCGATAATAATATAAAAGCACAATGGCAAATAATTGCCCACACCCTGAAAAACGTATAGACGTAAACGTAGCGTATAGAGCAACCCTGCAAAGAGAGCGGAGATATATATTTCACTAAAAAAAGAAAGAACAAGCAAAAACGTGAGCGGGAGCAAATCAAGATGTACAGATGAAGTCCGGAAATTCTACCAACGAGTAAATCTTCAAACCAATAGCTTTGATCCAGACACGTCCTCCTGTAGAGATGAAGAAGGAAACCTGTGACAGATACAGACAGCGTGTTGAGGATCTGGAAAAAGCATTTTGCCAGACGTCTGGTATCAATTAGTAGCGCGAAGAAGGCGCACCAGAACCAATAATAGATGACGATAGAGAGTGTATACCACCTAGCCAAGATGTGGTCAGAATAGCAATCAATTGGCTGAAGAATAATAAAGCAGCAGGTGCCGATGGCTTACCGGTCGAACTATTCAAGGCATGCACCAACTGATTAGTAGAATTTGGCTAGAGGAATGTATGCCCAACGATTGGAACCTCAGCATCCTGTGTTCCGTGCATATCAAAATGAGACAAGACGATATGTGCCAACTATAGAGGAATAAGTCTCCTTCCCATTGCATACAAAATGATATCTAGCATGATGTATGAACGACTGAAGCCAATATTGACATAATTGGACTATACCAATGAGGCTTCAGACCTGGCAAATCCACCGTAGACCATATTTTCACACTGCCTCAAATCCTGAATAAGACTCACAAAAAACACATACCACCTATTCATAGACTATAAAGCCGCATTCGACAGCCCACTCCACTCAGGTGCGTTTAAAGTCATGTCTGCGTTCGGCATTCCTACAAAATTAGTACGGCTATGTAGAATAACTTTTACTGGGTAAAGTTCAGCAGTTAAACTTGGAAAATATCTCTCGGAACCATTCAATACCGGACGAGGATGTCATACGAGAGGCAAAGGTGAACAAAAATGACACTCTGTATACTAAACAGAACATGTTACTCGCATATGTGAATGACATCGGCATAATAGGTAGAACATTGCGAGCGGTGACATCCCCATTTTGAAAGAATTGAGAGGGAGTGTAACAAAGTGGGACTGGTGACAAGACCAAGCTGATGGTATCAACGTGCAAGACGTCCAGTAGACTTGAAAACTACAGCTTCGAGGTAGTCAATGAAGAGTAGTGTTGGCCAACAGGTGCTGCTATGGCCTATGTAAGCAATTCGAAAACAAGGCCAGGCAAAACTCACACTCTACAAGACGCTGATCTACTTATACTTACACAACCAAATGAGGCAGCTCTTGGAGTGTTTGAGAGAAAAATTCTCCGAAAATTATTACTGACAGATCTGCGTCAAATATGAAATTTATTGCATGAATATGAAATCAGGTTTTGAACAATGATTTTTAAATATTCTGCCAAAGTGGAAACTTCTGTAAAACCTCAACGTTTACAAAGAAGATATTTAATTGTCTCCGTATCGTTACGAGTCTCAAAGTGATGAAAAATTCCAGAAAACTGTAACTTGCCGCAAACATGACAAACCTAGCAAGCATTCTTGGATACTGTAAGATAGTGGATAATCAAGGCTATCAATATCAATTTAATATTTATCTGTACCTTTACGCAATCAAAAGTTAAAAAGAATTTAAAATGTCGATTCTTTTCTGTAAACATGACAACCCTGACAACTACTTGCCGTCAACGCCATCTATTGAATGGTTGGATACAAAAATCGATTATGCCAAATGTAAACCTCACCCATAACTTTTGACTTACTATTATTATGTAAAATAACAAAAATTTCCGATTTTTGAATATGACATGTAATATTAAAATGTTCTATAATTTCCCTCGGTTATATTTGTTTTATAAGAATTTTGTCTGGTCATAGTAAAGTAGACTAATTACTCTTTCATATGACATCATTTTTATTGAAATGCTACCAGCTATTCAAAAGTTATACACTTGGAAGGTTGGACTTAAAAACAGATTAGCGCTAACGATGGTGGGGGTTTACAAAACATGCATTTCTCATGTTTTCTATAACTTTTTTCGTGTTGCTGGTATTTAAATGAATGTGGTGTCATATGAAAGGTATACTCTTATACTTTCTTGTGAAAAAGTACAATTTTACAATTAGTTGTTGAATTTTTAATATGAAACTGGAGCTTCAGGATTGGGTTTATAAAGTGGGAGGTGCCTAAAGGTGATTTAAGAAAAATACGAATTTATAGGTGTCGTCCTAAAAATGAGGTGCATTGTTCGTTCTGTAGACTACGTTTTGTTTCAGGAGCATACCTCGACTATGGCCTTCTTCTTCGGACTTTTTTATTTACTTTCACATTATCTCTTTTCATTCTATTCACTTTTCTTTCTACTAATTTCTGTCCCTTTTTAAGTTTAATTTTTTAATAAAAAAACGTTTTCAACTATCACCTGCTCTCTGTCCACGCCTTTCAAATTGCAACAACACAGATAAGTAAACAAAACATAAAACAACAATAAAAATGTACAATTTCTAATAAAATCTTACTGTATGCATGTCCATGCTTGATAAATGTTTATTGAAATAAAACAAAATTGGCCAAAGATCTTTACACCATGTTTATAAAAAATGCATGCATGCTTCTATACAAAAACTTATGCTGTATTTCAAAGCTTTCTTCAACTCAAAAAAAAAATATATATTTTTATATAAATTTATGGAATATAACCAATTGATGTTCTTTGTGTACTTTTTTTCTTTTCCCCTCCTCCCCAAAAAAATCTGTCTTTTCAGAGTATTCAATAAAATAAAAAGTCGCAGTGCCCACATGAAGACCCATCGTGTTACGGACAATGAAACCTCGGTACAAATTACAAATAATCAAAATCATGCCGTGCAACAGCATCATAACCAACAACAACAACAGCAGCAGCAACAGTCCCAGCAACAACAACAACCATAGCAAAAATTTTAATAAAAAAGAAAGAAAACAAGAAAAAAATTACAAATTCAAAGAAAATCCAATATTCCTACAAAAGAAACCATGAGCAAGAAACCATGAGCAAGAAAGAAGAACAAAAATATGAATACAAATCATAGATAAAGTGTAGAAAAAATAAAATAAAAACAACACGTTAAATGACAATCGCCATTAAAGCAAAAACAAAAATAATAATTTATAAAAAAATTATTAATTTATTTATTTCAAACATTAATGGCCAGCTAAGTGAAATAAAAATACTCAGCTATGCCAAAACACACACTTTTTGTTATAGTCAATAATTTTAAACAGCATTTCTATATAAGAAAAAAAAAACAAAATGTCAAACCAAAAACACAAAATCATTTAAATGACATTTTAGACTCAATTATTAATTTTAATAAAAATTAAAAAAAACTTAATTTTTCATGCCAAAGATTTAAAAAAGGCTCTAAACGTTGTTCAATGTCAAAACATTTTTGTAATACTAGTCATTAATTTTATAACTATTAATTTTAAAAATAATTATATTTTTTTAAATAATTATTTAAATAATAATTTATGTCTTATATTTTTTAATATTTACACGTGATAACGAGTGAGATTTAAAACACACACACACACACATAAAACACATTTTAAATAATAATATTTATTTTAAATAAAATTAAAATCACTTATTTGATAATCACTTTTTAAATTAAATTAATATAATCTTAATATTAATTAATCTATTAATATTTAATTATTAATATTTACTGTTGATGTTTTTTGTTTAATTTCTTTTTTCTGTCTTTAAATGTTATTTTAAAAATGACATACATACAAACATAAATAACCATAATTGTAGTAGCATAATTTATTTATTTGTCTTATTTGTATATAGAATAATAAAAAAATTACATCCTCATCCACACACACACACACAAACACAAAATAAATAAACACAATACCAAGAAAAAGACACTCTTTATTCTTTTCTTTTTTAGATTTAACATAAATTAAAAAATTAAAAAAATAATAATAATTTAAGTTATAATTGTATTATTATATACCAAGAAACAAAATATTGGTATTAATCACAAGCCTTCCAAAAACACACACATTGATTAATTAAAACTAAGTTCTATTCTCTACTATTCTAACTAAATTTCTATTCTTCTAAATTTATCTAAATTTTATCTAAGAATAAAATTCTTTTCCTATTCCTTTTTCTAATTTCATCTTCCTAAACTTTGCAAAATGTTCTGGTAAAAAATATATCCCAAAGAAAGATACAAGTATGAGAAAATCAAAGACTACAAAATTTACTCCCTTGAAGATGAATACCAAATGTTGTCTATAGATTACTGAAAATTAATTAAAAACAAATTATATTTCGCAAGGATGTCTAAAACCATAAACAAGTGATCCTTAACAAGTAAAAACATCGCCGTTAGATCATTTTATATGGCGACTATGTCATGGTAAATTGGCTGAAATTGGATTGTTTTGGAAGCTTTGAGACAATTAAATAACAAGTAATAGTCAATCAGTTTTTCAAACATACACTTCAACATACCACAAATTAAGCTAGACCTTTTAAAAATTACAAATTTCTGACACTTCGATGAGGAAATTTCTCTATAGTCTCAAAATATCGAAAATAGCTGAAAAAATCTCCAAAATATTGAAATTTTCTGTAAAAGATTTGTGCCACTCCCCGAAAATCCGGAATGACAAACTGCAATCCCTTCGTTTGAAAAATGCAACTAACTTTCTAAGCAAGAATCGGGTAAAAGTGCAAAATGGCTATGAAAACATGACGAATGTTTATTCCTCGTCTTTGAAGACCATATCTAACATCTTATGAGCGACGTTTTTGAAGAATATTTGGAGGACAAGTATTCTCGCCTTGTGGTATTTATTTTACGTATCAAGAAAATAAAGACGAAAAGAGATACACAAAGATTCCACATGGAAAGAGGATATGCTTTACAAACATATTCCTCATTCGATTTGACTGAAGACATGTGATGTCAGAACCAACCTGCAATAGTCGCAAATAAATATACAAAGTTTTTTCTTCATGCACATTAGAGTTAACAACAACAACAACAACATTTTTCAGGTCATAACTCAAAATTTAAATTTAAGAAATTTTTCACCCCAAGCAATGACCTCGATTTTGTGTCACAGATTAATATGTGCAAACTTTTCAAGCTTTGGCTGTCTTAACAAATGCAAACACTGTGACAATTTTTACTAATGGGTGGTCGTGGTATTTGCCATCATTTTGGTCTACAATTTTACACTGGATGGAAATATCCCCAAAGTGAAAGTTGCTTAATGTAAATATGAATATTCGGGTTTTTTACTTTAATGGTTTTTTAACATTACAACAGCGTCTTCCAGCGAAAATTAATTAATTAAATTCTTGATATGCGAGAAAAAAATTCAACTGTCATGAACCCATCGAACCAAGCCATGGTGGAAACATCCTTTACCCGTTTTGACCGGTCACAAGGATAGCTGGTTAGATCTGATATGTGAGAGCTCACATTGCTACAAATAAATCGTGATGTATGACCCACAATTTCCCCTCAAACTTTGCTCAAGTGGAACAGTCGCCATATTACCAATTTTTTCCGAGGAAAGAGTCTATCCTTTGCTTCGAAGTGTTTTTTCCTCGAACAACTTACGGTGTGTATGACTCGTCCTCCAAGACCCACACATTCGATTGATGATTTGTTTCGGTCTTCTTAAAATTGTCATTTCCCTGAGCAAGACCTCGAAATATTTATCTGAGACTCCATCGATGTAAACATGAACTCTGTCTGTTGAAATTATGATAGAGCTTGCAATATGTAAGATAGGGTTTGTACGTACATTGCAACTCCTTCTAGGATATTTTGTATTGTAAATATTTCACTTTCAATACCATACCATTTTAATATCTCCTAATATTATTACCAAACATATCAATATTGGCCAACTTCTTAGGTACCTGCCAAAATTCAGTATTTTGCTGATCTTCAACCGAATTGGCTTTAATTTGATATGTTGGGTTTTTATTTCATGTCAAATCTTCTTAACAAAAATACTGGTCCAAGTTTCAAAAAAGCTCACCTTTCTTGGGTAGATCACATATAAAGGCACCTCCAAAATTCAGTATTTTGGGGCGTCTGGTGACATTTTTCACCAAATTGGGTGTAATTTTTATACCCTCCACCATAAGGGGTAGTGTATATAACATTTGTCATTCCCTTTGTTACACCTCAAAATATTCACCACAAGGTACATATCGCTCATTCGCTGCAAGACAGGCATAACTCAAAAAAAAAAAAACGATTTTGCAGATTTCAATCGTGCATCATTAACTCGAAAATGACGTTTTTTGAGTTATGCCTCTCTTGCAGCAAATGAGCGACATATTTTTGATCAGAATAAAATTATATGATGATTTTTGCAAGTCCTACTGTTAAAATCACGATAGAGATCGCAAGCTCTTTAATATTACACAGACATTACTATTACTCCTAAGATGTTTGCTATTGGGAATGGAATATATAAATCCACGTTTTTCTGTAGCCCCTATATAACGTTTTTCTGTAGCCCCTATAGTGGGGGGTACCACTATTCGATATTTCAGGGATTTTGAACAATTTTTTTTCAACCGAGTTGGTTGTAATTTGGCATTTTGGGTTCTCATTGTATAGGACATCTTCGCTGTAAACATAATCAATATTGACCCATGTTTCAAGGTAGCTTACATAGGGCACCTCCAATATTCTGTATGTTGGGGATATGTTTGGGCCCGTTTTTCAACAAAATGGCTGTAATTTTGTATTTTGGGTTCTCATTGTTGAAGTTCTCATTGAGTGTAGCATCACATCGGTGTTTTGGGAATTTTTGACATTATTGTAAACCGTATTGTAAATCTAATTATCAATATTGAATACCGTTTTGGTATAGCCCCATAAAACGCTACCCCATATTACTATTATCTTTTTCTCACGACTTTTATATTCAAGGTCTTATTATAAAACGAGTTTTCTCCTAGGAGCTGCCCATTAATTTTACATATTTTATATTTTGAATCTCATACTCATGGTGGAGGGTATAAAAAGTACACCGGACCGAATTTAATATGGTTTTTTACTTGTTTTTTTTTTTTTTTAAATTTCCTTGGGGTAGACGAAAACACCTTTCAAAAATGTTTGGCTCTATATAACGGTAATATGTTTTTAATTGATATTTTTCAATTTGGGTGCCAAACCTTCCTACCAAAAATATCAATATCGGTGACCTTTTTGTGCAGCCTCCATATAACGGCATACCCAATTGTTGGCATTCCATGTATCTTACAAAAATACATTTTCAAGATCCTTGCTCAATTTTCTTTCCCATTTATATGTAGTTTGTTATTTCGTTTTATCTTTATTGTGATATAGTCCGCATATACAAGTATCCATCGATTTTAGGTATTTTAATTTCCACCTCATGGTCAAGGTTAAAATAGGGTTGACCTGACCCCACCCTACGAACTTAACGACTATTTATTTGTTTTTTATACCAATTTTGGTTCGACATCAGATTTTGAAGTTCGACATGTTTTGTAGTTAGTCATATGACATATTTTTCCCATAATCTCTAGGATCTATGTTTTCAGGTTTTGCTACACCATAGCACTGATGTGCCTATGTTCGAAAATATTTAATATTATTGACGCTATCAGGTTGTAATGACAGATACCATGCCCTTGATTTCATGACAGAGGGTCTGTGATATGCACTTATCCGGGTTTAATAGGGTCAACGATTGCAAGCATTTAACTTCTTCTAAGCTTGTTTTGAGTCAAGTTTGATTCAGGGTGATAGACATTATTTGATTTACTTTGCGAACTCGATCTGTATGTAATGGCCTGACAGGCGACAATAGTATCTTATGGAAAAGTCTGTATTTCAATTAGAAAATAAATCTCGACTAAAACCCAATTTTAGAAAAAAATTAACGCAAATAAGTTGTCAAGAAACAAATTGTGCAAGAAAACGAAGCAATGAACATAAGAAATCAGATGGTGTAAAAAATCAACCTTTTAAATAAATTAATTTATGGACAATAGATTAATAGATGCAAATTAATTTTTTTATTTTGTATAGATACTGAAGTTGTAATTTTTATTAAAATAAATTAAAAATAATAATAATTAAAGAATGTCTATAAACTGTTATCCGGACACATGTAAGAAACATATATATTCGCTTCCTTTGTCGAATGTTTTAAATTACCCAATTTTCCTAAGTAATTTCCACTTTGATACCTATTCAGTCAAACTGTTGAAGTTCGTTTCTTAAGTCTTTTGTTTTAAAAACGTACATTAACTGCGAATTTACTTTTATCTATACCTTTCCTTAATATATTTTTACCAGAGCATTAACTGCAAAGTTTTCTAAATCTTAACTCCTATAAACTGACAATTTCCGATTTCTTTAACTATTTTAATTAAGGAAAAATAAAACTTAAAAACCTAAAGAATAATACAAACACAAAAAAAATCGTTCAGCAATTTTCCATGGTTGTATTGTCAAAATAAAACAAAAAATAATAAACACTTATTATCTGTCTTAAACAAACACACACATACAAAAAAGGAAAAACACAAGATGCTCTTATTTAGTAAAAAAAAGTGAAGAAAAACTAACTAAATATTTTTAATGATTTTAATTAAAACCAAAACAAAAACATCTAGAAAGAATTACAACTACAATTCAATTGTAAAAGGAAAAAAAAACAAAAAATGCTCACTCATTACTAATTTCAAAAAAACGAGACACAAGAAAAACAAAAAAAAAAAACTTCTTATAATTTTCCATCAATGCCTTCTTTTAAAACAAATGGATATCTCTTAATAACAAAAATGAAAAAAGAAATAAATAGCTATAAATAATAATTATAAAAGGAAAATAAAGAAAAATTAACTTTATTAAGTATTATAAAATAAAGGAGACAAAAATCTTAAATAAAAAGAAGAAGAGAGAATGGTATATAAGAAAGAGACAACAATATAATAAAATGAAAACACTCTATCTCTATTGACTTGATACTTAAGAAACCACCTTAAGAAATATTTATTTATTTCTATAAAAACAAAAAACAAATAATTAAAAATTAAATGTTATGTAGCTAATATTATACAACAAACATACATACCTACACAAATTCTCACATACACACACATACAAAAGAATAGTTTATAAGGTAAAAAAATTCAAAACTCATCCGTCATCATTATCAGCAACAACAAAATGAACATTATTATATCATTACTATTACTATTATTATGATCATCATCATTATGATTGAAAAAAATAATATTTTTTATAATAGTTCTAAGTCTTTGTTGTTATTACTATTATTATTATAAACTATAATGGATAATTATCTACCTATCTATCTATACCTATACATACATATTATATAAGTGTGTAAAAGTGTTGTTATTTTCTACTATTACTAAACTTAAAAAAGAAAAAAAAAAAACTATTACAGCCACAAATCAAATGAAATTTTAAGTAAAAGTCAAAGTTTCTCCTTTTCTATTCAGAAACTAATTTTGACAAAAATTTCATAAAAGAAATTTCAGTAAAAAAAAACTTTCATCTTAAAAACATGGAGTTGAATTATTAATAACAGCAGGCAATTTTCTATGACTATAATTACATTTAATTGTTTTAATATATAAAATTTGTTTATATCTCTAATTTTTATATTGTTTTGTGTTATGTGTTCTTATTTTTATTTTAGTTTAATTTAATTCTCAATCTATGTTAAAATAAATTTATTACAATTATTATTACATTATTATCTTTTAAAAGAAAACAAGAAATAAAATGTTATTTCATTAATTTTTTCTTAAAATTTTTGTTTTTTATTTGTTTAATTTTTTTTTCAATATATTTTCAGTTGTTGTAGACTGTAAAATTTACGTCCAATGGCATACACTACAAATTTAGTGGTATTAAATTAGGATAAGGATTGAGATAAATCATGATCTTATATTGATTCTGAGTTATAAATAAATTAAATTAACGGACACATTGACATAGCAACACATTGATATAGCAACAAAGTCCAAAAAGACTCCTCTGGATTCCGAAAGATTTATGTATCCAAATTTGAAAAATTTACTTTAAAAATTTTAGGACAAATTAACTCCATTTACTATTTAATTACGCGAGATACATATTTTCTCTCTTCTAAAAACCATTGAAAAATTCTCCTCCGGAATATTACCACTTTCCAATTTAGGAATCAAGAAAATAATTACTTTTAAATAGGGATCTGTTTGCCCAGAAAAAAATTCTAAATTTAAAAAAAAAATCCAGAAATTTAATACTTGTCATCAGCGCCATCGACTGGTTGGGTAGATCCAAAAATCGATCATGCAAAACTTAAATAGTACTTTTTTAACCATAATTTTTTATTACATATATTAAGACCAGTAAGCGGAGTTGTATTGTCGGACGGGGACGACCATATGATATCCTATACAACTACCACGGAAAACTTGTTTTTTGCCGATCTATATTCAGTGCCCAGGCAACATTTCGCGATATTTGCACCCTCATGACAGATTAGAGATCAACCGTTACTCTTTCTTACCCTGACATATTTTCATAATATTTTTCTTCGAAATGGTCATTTACGGCATAAGATTCATTTTTTTTTATTTTAAACAGAAAGTTCTTGATTTATCCCGCTGAATATTGACCGACAAAACAGCGATTCTAATTAGTTGGCGATTCTAATGGGTAAGGCAATCACCCATGTGATGTTCGGCTTATTCTTGTAGCCTATAGAGCGACTTGAAAAAGCACACAAAAGTTAAGTTTCTAGTCTATTTCAGCCCCAAAATATAATCTGATCATCCAAGGCGTCGTCCTTAAACATAACTGGAAACTTGTGTAAAATTTCAAATCAATCAGCGCGAAATATTTACTCTCTAGTGTAGTAATGGTAATCAGAATACGTATATCTCCTACGTCCGAGTACATACAGAAATAAAATTGGTATCTATTTAAAGGTCTAATGTCTATGTCTTTCAGGACTAAATATATACGCCACATAATAAAAATTTTGTCATTTTTTACACAAAAGTCTGGGATTTGTTTGACCCGCTGAATATTGCCCGATCTTCATAAAAACAGTCATGCTTATTGTCCTATGTCCAGAACCCTCCTTCTCTTTCTCTCTCTCTCTGTACAATTTCGTGATGTGCGGGTCAAATTGTGGGCTCAAGAGCGAACATAAAAACCGACAATAAAGACAATTTTTGTTTAATTTAATCCCCTAAAAATAACGGACCATGACTAAAAACAATAGGCATGTTCAACGACCAGAGCCCGTTCTGCATGCAAAATTTCGTAACGATTGGTCCATAACTCGTGTTTACAAATTATAATGGGCTGACGGACGAACACACATGGCTAGCTAGTTCAGAAATGGGTCTAGGACCAATAATTCTTGCGTAGTCTTGGGTAATCTCGTTCAGTTCAGTGTTCAAACAAGATCATTTTTTAAAAGTGAACTAGGTCGTTCAGTTGCTTATATCGTTCAAATGGTTACTCAGTTCAATTGGCATGGCAGCGCATTCCAATTAAATTCTGGCAGTTAAATCAACCGTAAAGAATGATGACCTTTCACAATCATTCGAAGGACTTTCCTACCTATTTTCTCCTCTTTTTAAGGGGTGGTGGTCGATGGCATAACTCCATTATTTTCTTTTTCGTGGTTTCCAGCTCCAGGACTGTTTATGAGGGTGCTTTGCTTTTAAATGTCGCTTCATATTTTTTACTGGCCCTCCAGCTATACGTGAAACACTACTGCAGCATTTGATCTTTTAGTCACCGCATTCCATGAAATGGGACAACAATATATTACACATACCTTCAATTCAATTTAACAGATTTTATATGAAATTGTTCTTATTTGACGCCGTTCAGTTGGTCAAAGTTAGTGCACCTGTTGAACAACACTGAAGGTGAGCAACGTCGTTCAGAGACCGACTGCGCGAAAACTATGAGGTTCACTCGTTCAGTGGACTGACTCGTCCAATTGAACTAAGTCGTTCACGAACGACACAAATTACTCACATAGTGGTGTTTTATGAAGGGTAATTTTTAAAACTGGCATTTAGTTTTACATTTTCTCTAATTAACCTTGGTAATATTTTTATTATAAAAATTATTTATTATAAAAATTTTAAAGTAGACTATTAACGCTTTCATATGACACCAGTTTCATTGTAATGCGATTATTTGTTAGAAAGGTGGACTCGAAAAACTGATGTGCCTGTTTTGAATCATGTCCATCAATAGTTGGTGCTGACGGCGAGTTTATAAACATTACAGACTTCATTTCTTCTTGCCATAACTTTTTCGTTGTACAGATACTAAAAAAAACTGAGATTCAATCATCTGTTCGCAAGTTATACGCTTCGGTTATTGGACTCAAAAAACTGATGACCCTGATTTGAATCATGTCCAACAATAGATGGCGCTGACGGCGGGTTTATAAAAACCAAAAAACTTTATTTTTGTCATAACTATTTTCGTAGTGCAGATATAAAAATAGCTGCGATTCCATCATCTGTTCATAAGTTATATTCTTCGAATGTTGGCCTCGACTGGTGCGCCTCACTTGAATCATGTACAACAATAGATGGCGTTGACGGCGGTGGTTTATTAACATTACAGACCTTATTTCATTTTGCCAAAACATTTTTCGTAGTGCGGATATTAAAATTATTGAGAATCATTCATCTGTTGACAAGTTATAAGCTTCGATAATCTGTTCAAAAGCTATACGCTTCGAATGTTGGACTCAAAAAACCAATACGACAGAGTTGAATCATGTCCATCAATAGATGTCGCTGACGGCGGGTTTGTAAAAATCACAAACCTCATTTCCTTTTGCCATAATTGTTTTTCGTTGGTAGATACTAAAATACTTGAGATTCAATCATCTGTTCGCAAGTTATACGCTTCGAAAGTTGGACTCGATAAACTGATGCGCCTGATTTGAATGATGTCCAATAATAGATGGCGCCGACGACGGTTTTATAAACATCACATCACATCCGGGAATTTATGTTAGCCTTAACTTTTTTTGTACTGAAGATATATAAATGAAAGTGGTATCATATGAATGGTATTGACGTACACTTTCCTAGAGACATTATAGTAAATTATTTTCACTTTCACTTGAAATGCGATTTTCCATTCAGAAGTTATCCGTTTTAAAGATTGGACTTAAAAAAGTGATTTACATGGCTTGAATCATATCGATGTATAGATGGCGCTGACAACGGATTTAAAAAAAGCATACTTCATTTTGTAATGCTATAACTTTTTCTTAATGCTAGTAGAAATGAAAGTGGTGTCATATGAAAGGTATAATAGTATAATTTTTTGTGAAAAATAGATTTTTAAAATTAGTTGGAGATATTATAATGAAATTGGAGTATAAAGATTAGTGTGGGAGCTACCAGAAGGAGTTGACTGATCGGTCCCATATAACTATTATCCTATATTTAAGGGTTGGTAGATCCACGACATCAAGTTTATTGTCATGGCTTATGAGTATGAACTCATGGTACATCAGGTTATACAAATTTCTCTTCTCCATGGAGAGTCGGGATGTATCTCTCAAACAAATATATGTATTAATGTGTTGCAAATTATTGATTAAAAATTAGTTATTTATAATAAAAAACTCACATCTTAATACCACTGTATTGCTGTATGCCATCCTATTTATACAACTTAATTGTGCCTATGTATACTATTTATTAATTTATATTGATTTCTTTAGGAATGGACAAAAAGGGATAACTGGCCTCAAAGGCCATTTTATTCCCAAGAGAGTGAGAAAGAATCTTAAACAAAAACGATATTTTTCATGTGTTCTAACACAATCTAATACTACGGTTGTTTCTATTAAATAAAAAAACAAAGACGATTACTAGGTTAAACTATATACTAATATTAATTTTAAATATTAAAAATACGTTTTCTTTTCGTAATGACAATCCCCTAATTTTTTCCCTCAAAACTAAAAAAACCTAATTATTTTTCAAAAATAATATAAGCCCTAGTATTAAATAAAACAAAAATATTATTAAAAATATATACATAACTACAAAAAATAAAATTTAAACAAAATTATATATATTTAGAAAATATATATACATACATAAATACCTAACAAAAAATATATATAATAAAAATCATAACATACCTTATCTCGATACTCTGCGTTGTGATTGTGTCATAAGTGTGTATAAAAAATAAATAAATGTAAAAAATACAAAAAACAACTTTAAACTATACTATAAACAGAAAATGTTCTTTACTTTAAAACTAAAATTAAAAAAAGCAAAACCAAAAACAAATACGTAAGTTTATGAACTCAAAATGAATGAAAATTGAAAACCTGTAAAAAAATACTGAAAACAAAAACCAAACTTATTTAATGTTATTGCATCTACGTAGTAGGCCTCAAATGCCAACTATTTATAACTCTTTCAGAGAAATTACAACAACAACAATACTATTTGAAAACGAATGATAATAGCTCTTAGACATATCAAACATTTCAAAAAACCAAAACGAAAAAATTAATATTAATTATTTTAAATTAAATATTTTACTCGTAATGAATAAAGAAATAAAAAATAAATAATATGCATTTTAAAATTATTATTAAGTATACCATCTAAGAAAACAATTTAAAGCCAAGAAGAACTATT